CGCCCTGTGCAAAACGCAATTTAGCACGTATCTCTCTCTCTCCTTTCAGAAGGAAGGCAAACGACCCTGAACCCTCCCTCCCACCGCTGACACTGAACTTGCTCGCTGGCAATCCACCATAATGTCCAGCATGGGACGCTTTCGCATGGTAAGCTAAATGTTGTGGATATTTTCGTACACGCGCGAAGAGGTCAAGTTGAGTTACTCAGAGTAAACGCGCGAAAAGGCCAGGCTCAGATACTCTGAGTTAACTGGAAAGTTGGAGAAGTTGTTCTACTCGATTGGGGAAGGGTTCCAGGGGTTAATATTCTATGGAGAAAAGATTCAGGAACTTCATTTCTAATTAGAAGAAATTACCTTTGAGCTGCATACATATGTACCCATAAGATACAGTCATTCGTGCAGCTAACTTGACGAAGATATCCGTTACTCTATCAGTGAGATATATTTATAGCTGTGAAATCCTTTTCTAATTGTGAGATATCTGTTGACTCTGCTTGAGGAAGGACTCCAAGTAATAGAGGATGAAGAGCTACTTGCTCTTCATTGGGATAACTACACAGAGCAGCGTTAGTTTTAGAATGCTTTCAGCAGGGAGCGTTTAAACTTTGACCCCAAAGACTAGGACTAGGGTTCAAGGCAAGGGTACGCGAACCCGCGTTCAGCCGCTAGTGGCACGCGCTTCAACCACAACAAACAACAACCAACAGTTAGATATAAATACATATATATATATAGTACAGTACATTGATAGATGAGGTATTGCCAGTGGAAACAAAGTTAAATGTGCGGGCGTCTCGGGGCAATTACCATGCGAGGCACATGCGAGCCACAGCACCGGGAGTTGTTTTTATTGGATGTGCGTGCTGGTTCGCCTCGAGACGAGCTGTTGGCCATCGAATCAACCGAGTGCTCGCTTCATTCACAGCTGAACCAGCAGCACAGCGAGGAGCTCGAACTGGAGGCGAATGCATCGCTGCTGAAGTCATCGCCCAACATTTTGGAGAACTTTTCGTACGACGACTTCCATCTACAGAAGGCACACTCGCATCTCAAGCGTATGGCGACCTCTCCAACGTCGACGCCCACCACCAGCTCCGGCTATGAATCCGGCAGGTCCAAGCGGGTTCCGGCTGAGCCCAAGTTCTGCGATACTCTGGAGCGGCACGCCTTTATGCGGAATGTGATCAACCGGCAGCCGGAGAGCGTGCGACGCTACTCGAGTCCGGGCGAAAAGGAGGCCCAGGTGCGGCGCAGCCTGGAGGAGATTTCCAAGGACATCCAGGAGATCGAACAGTTTGTCACGGCCACAGAGCAAATGATGCAGCGCGAGAACGAGCTGGAGAAGGAGCAGGTTCAGGTGCAGCTCCAAGCGCAGAGCCGGCGAGGCGACAAGGAGAACAAGACCCCGAGTCCCGTCAAGCGGATCACCTACAAGATCAATGCCTACAAGGCACCGCAGCGTCGCCAGCGCCCAAGCAGTCCCCGGTTCTATCACTCCCGGCTGTACTTCCGTAACGGTAGGATTGGCTGTGTGGACGCCGCCGAGCAGCAGAGCAATATCGGAGCCACCCACGCCCTGGTCAAGCACATACTGAAGCACGAGAAGCCGCTGGTAAGTCCGGACAGCGTGAGACGCATCCTACAGTCGGACAACTTTGAGATGACGCCCCTGCCTGGTATGGTGCCCATGCCAGTGCCCGATCCGGTGGCAGTGCAGCGAGCCGAAGAGCTGGCAGCGGCCACGGGACAAGTTGTGTTGCCTCTGGAGTCGTGTGACCAACCGGCAGAGGAATCCCAGGCCATCCAGGAGGAGGACGAAGACGAACAGGACGTGCAGATCTGCTACAACGAGTCGCCGGAGCTACAGAACGACGATCACAATGTGCGCCGCCTGCGTTCGCCCTCCATCAACGAGAGCGAGATTGTGGCCGTGGTGGAGCCGGAATTGGATCGCGCGCAGGAGCAGGAGCATCATCGCAAGCCGAGCAGCGCCGACAGCCTGGATTCGCAGGGCCAGCAGTTCCTGCGCGACCAAGTCCGATACCTGGTGCGACGCTTCACGGCGCGCGCCAACAAGGTCAAGTCCCGCATTGAGCTGCCGCCGACGCCCTCGTCCAGTAACGCCAGCACGCCCTCGCCACCGCCCACGGCCCTGCATGCTAGCACCAAGAGCCTGCATCCCTCGCCGGAGCACAAGGTGCGTCTGGTGCCGGCGGGCTCTTCGCCACATCGCGGACGACTCTTTGAGGCCGACACTCCTCGCTCAAATGTGTGGCTCTGCTCCAGCCTGTGCGGCGCCAACAACGACGAGCGCACGCTGGATCCACAGGGGAAGATCTACATCTCGTGGCTGTGTGTGGTGTCGCTGTCCTTCCTCTACAACGCCTGGGTCATACCGCTGCGCGCCTCATTTCCCTTTCAGACCAAGGAGAACACCAACATCTGGCTGGCCTGCGACTTCTGTGCGGACATTGTCTATCTGCTGGACGTGGTCTTCTTCAAGCACCGAGTTATGTACCTCTTCGAGGGCTTCTGGGTGAAGAACAAGAACCTCACGAGGAAGAACTACATGCGGAAGCTGCAGTTTAAGGTGCGTCATAATCCATTTACCCATACAAAACCCAACCTCATAGAACTCTCAAACAGTTGGATCTTTTGGCTCTGCTGCCCCTGGAGCTGTTCTACCTGAGGCTGGGAACGGGCGCAGTGTGGTTGCGCTTCCCTCGATTCTTTAAGATACAAAGCTTCTGGGAAGTGTTTCGGCTGCTGGATCGGGTGATATCATCGCCGCATTTTGTAAGTTATCACTTCGCTAATCCCATTGTCATCCACTTATCTTACGGAGTGCGTCTGTCGGTATATGTAGGTTCGCGTGGCCAAGACCCTCACCTATATGCTCTATATGATCCACATCACGGCTGCCCTGTACTATGCCTACAGTGACTATCAGGGCTTGGGCAAGAACCGCTGGGTCTTCAGTGGCAAGGGACATCCGTATGTGCGATGCTTTGCCTTTGCCACCAAGACGGCCACATCTATAGGAAAGAATCCGAAGCCGGAGCGCCAGGGGGAGTACGTCTTCATGACGGTGGCCTGGCTGATGGGCGTCTTTGTATTCGCCCTGCTGATCGGACAGATACGGGACATCATATCCACGGCCACCAGGAACAGGCACGAGTACCGTCAACTGGAGGATGAGACGCTGGAGTACATGCGACGCTTGAATCTGTCCCATGAGGTGCAGTCAAGGGTCAAGATGTGGTTCCAGTTCACCTGGGAGCAGCAGCGTACTTTGGGTGGCTATATATCCTCCTGCCCGTAATCCTCCTTTCTGACTCTCCCATTTCCTCCCAGATGAATCCAATATACTTGATGCGCTGCCCATCAATCTGAAGACAGACATCGCCATCTCCGTGCACATCCATACCCTGTCCAAGGTACAGCTCTTTGCGGATTGCGAAGAAGCGTTGCTGAGGGATCTGGTTTTGAAACTGCGCGCAGTCACCTTTCTGCCCAAGGACTTTGTGTGCCGCAAAGGCGAGGTCGGCCGCGAGATGTACATTGTGAAGCTGGGCCAGGTCCAGGTAATGGGCGGTCCAAACAGCGACGTGGTTCTGGCCACCCTCACCGAAGGCTCGGTGTTTGGGGAGATCAGCTTGCTGGGCATCAACGGAGCCGATCGTCGTACGGCCGATGTGCGATCCAAGGGCTACTCCAACCTGTTTGTGCTGTCCAAGTCGGACCTGAACGAGGTGATTGCCTATTATCCCAATGCGCAGGCCATTCTCAAGAAACGAGCCCGTCAACTGATGCGCAAGAATGCAGCTCGGGAACGCGAAGAGGAGCGAGAGCGTGCCCGCAGTGCCCTGCAAGCGGATGTGGTAATTGGCAATCCCAAGACTCCAGAGACAGCCCCAAAACTGCTGCAGACAGTCATACAGGCCTTGCCGTATGAGTCGCCTGCCGTGGTGCTCATCACACGCGGCTCGAAGCGAATGCGTCGCAAGGGTCACTCCCTCCAAATGGAGACCATAGTGGAGCCGAAGCTTGAGGTGACGGGCGGTCCCGAATTGCCAGAACAGAAGAGCGTGAACGGAGAGGGTAGGAGCACAAAGATAGGACGCTGTTCACCCGATTTGCTATCCTCCATACAGCAGGAGCTGAAGACCAAGCACAAGTTCATCAATCTCACCGACTCGGAGAAGGCCCTGATCAACCACTCGGCCAACAACTCCATGGAGAACATGCAGGTGGTGGATCTGTAAGGCGTAGCCAATTATAGTATTTGTCTAATTATTGTAACAAAATATTCTGCGATATATAAACATTGTGTGAACAACAATTCGGGTGTTTGCTCTGTTCGCATCGCCCGACCTTAATTAGAAATATTTAACAATTAGTTGTCCAACTGAAAGGCAGCCACCACCGCTTCAACAATTGTGGGCACTTCTGCCATGGCCCCATTGCCCGTGTCGCCACACATTAGTGTCTTGGATATGCAGGGAATCTGCTTGTAGCCCCAGCTCACCAGCTTATCGATCTGCTCCTTCGTGATGGGGTGATCGTACATGCGCGTATTCATGGCCGGCGCAAAGAGCAGGGGCTTCTCCAGATTCCAAGCACGCACCACGCACATCACAAGGTTGTCGCAAATCCCCTGCAATAGACACGGAGATAGGTATGTTTACAAAAGGTTACCAAGGAATATTCTTCATCTTACGGTGGAAATTTTGGACAGGGAATTTGCGCTGAGTGGAGCAATCACCATCAGATCGGCCCACTTTCCCAGTTCAATGTGCAGCACGGGATCGCCGCGGTGGTTCCAGCCCAACCACTCATCGCGATTATGGAGAATAGGTACTGAAATGGCAGAGTATTAAAGGCATAAGCCAGACCAGTTATCTTAGAGGCCACCTACCGTTCTCGGGTATTTGCTCCAGCTCGAAGAAGTGTTTGGCTGCCTCGGTGATGAGAACTTTCAGGTGGAATTTGTAGGGCAGCCGCTCATCGGAGAGTTCTGCTATCATTTGTGCTAACTTGATGGTAGCCACGCTACCTGTGGCTGCTATAATCACATTGCGTTCGGGTTTCATTGTTGCTTGTCTTCCTCCGTCGCCGGTTTCTTGTCGTGAAAGCCCAACTTTGACCATTCGGTTTTTTCCATAAGATTGTTGTCCATGCGACAAGCAAGATAGTTTTGGGCGTCCTCGCGGCACTGGCTCGTGTCCTGGGCGTTACGCCGCAGGCAGCTCGCGTATTGAAGAAATTGCTTCTTGCAGAGGCCCTCGTGATCCAGTGGAAAGGAGCCCTTCTCCGGCGGCGTGGGTATGAACTTCTTTTGGCTGTAGATTTGCGAAGTCATTTGAGAAGGTGTGTGCTCTTGATCTTATCTTAATTCTTTGATATATGGCCTAAATTACGAAATAAGATAAATGAAGTTGCAGTGTTACCAAACCCGCTAGCCGCACCAACGTATCGATATTTTTGTTGCAAGCTACCCTGTGCATCGATAGGTAGAATCAGATCGGTATATCTGATATAACGACGTGAAAGAACAAAAAAACTGTGTCAAAAGCATTGAAACTCTGAAAATTAGTTTCGTTGATACCACAAAAGTAGTCATATAAATATTTTCGGCTGTCAAAAAAAACTATCACCTACAAATATATCAACCAAAAGTATATATCGATAGATTGGTATAGTTATGACGTTAGGAAACGCTGGACGAATTGCTGTTTGTTGGTTTGTAGAAAAAAATTGTGTAATTTTCCATCTTCTGAATTCTAACTGGAAGTCTTGACCGATTAGGGGAATTCTAACCGCTGGTGGAGTGTACGCTTTTGTGCTGTCCAAGCAATCCGTTGATAGCCGGCGTTACGAGAGCATGCGAGTGCGTGAACGCATGAGAAAAGCAAACCACGGCGACTACAACTACTCTGCTTCTTCTGACAGGCGTTTTGACTAAGGTCGAAAATATTTAGTTAACCATCAATTAAAAGCAGCACTACACACCATGGATATGTCCCAGATCAGCCCGGCCGACCAGGCCAAAGTACAGCTCATGCAAGAAATGGAAATTGAAATGATGTCCGATTTATATAACCGCATGACAAATGTATGCCACAAGAAGTGTATACCACCGCGCTATTCGGAGTCAGAATTGGGTGAGTGTGGCAGGAAATGCGTTTCGTAAGCGCTCTGGCTAAATATGATCCGTATTGTTGCAGGAAAGGGTGAGATGGTCTGCATCGACCGCTGTGTGGCCAAGTATCTGGACATTCATGAGAAGATTGGCAAGAAGCTGACGGCCATGTCCATGCAGGACGAGGAGCTCATGAAGAATATGTCAAGTTAATGCGTTTACATACAAAAACACCTGTCATATTGGCACCATTTCCTACTCAACCAAATCGTATTGTTTCCTGTTCCCCTACCGGCTGGAGCCCAAAGTGCATTTCGAGCGGTACGATATGTTGTTTAAGGTGCATGTACAAACACACAAATCTAAACAATAAATAACACATTTATGCGTGCTGTGTAATACTGACAAGTTCATACTTCAAAACTTCAAAAGGACGTGATATAACGCGACATCGCCGGCAACATAATGCCGACATCTTCTAGTTTATTCTCCAACGAGCTCTCGTCCGTGGTGTCCAGTTGGCTGGTTCGCGCACTGTTAGCCCAGTCCGACGTCTCCGTGTCATCAGTCCCGGGCTGTTCGTCCTGATGCTGATCCCTGTTTGGACAAGAGGCAGCTAGCTCCTCGGCGGCATCAACTAGGTGCTCCGGCAGGTCCATGTAGATGTTTGTTTGACGCTGTAAAATCGAGTTATTCGCTGTTCAGTTTAAATTTACAATTATCAACGTACCACTGCGATAACCTGCAAGTCGTGATGTAGACAAATTGGATTCCTCTTCAAGTTCAGCATGTCCAGAAAACGTAGCTCTTGCAATTGGAAGCGTGTGGGCAGTTTGTCGATTATGTTCTCGTTGAGGAACACGAATCTCAACTTCTCCATTGCCACCAGCACGCCCGGGATCCGTGTGAGACGATTGCCTCTCAGATTGAGGTGCACCAAGCTGCCCAACAATGCGAATGAGAGTGGTACCTCGCTCAGCTGACAACCTTCGGCCGTGAACCAGCGCAGTGAGGCGAGTGAGCCCACCGACGAGGGTAGCTTTGTCAGGGGATTTCCGCGCACTCCCAGTGTCTCCAGACGTTCGCAGCTTCCGATCTCTGACGGTAGCTCCAGCAGCCCCGTGTTGTTGCACCAGAAGGCCTCCAGCTGGGTTAGATAGCCCAATTCCGGGGGCAGGCGGCTGATGTTGTTGCAGCTGATGTTGAGGAACTTCAGTTGCACCAGCTGACAGATGGCCTGCGGAAATTCTTCCAGCTTATTGTAGTCCAAGGTGAGAACTTGCAACCGCACCAGATGGGTAATGGTAGATGGAATCTGTAAATTCGATTATCTGTACGTGTTGCCACCGAATGAATTCAGCGCTTGGCACTTACCTTTGTTAGTTTGTTCTGATTCAGAAAGAGCTTCATCAAACTTTCGCATTGGCCAATTATTTCGGGAGCCTCCGAAATTTGGTAGTGGGAGAGATTCAACGAGAATGCCTTCTTGATGATGGCATTCTCGCAGTTGGCCAACACATAATTGGTGCGGAAGAACTGAAATATCGTCTCCATTAGGATACAAATTTATTTTTATCTTAATTTATAGTAATTTTTTAAAACATAATGCTGTTACAGGCCTGATGGGAAACTCAAATCGAATGGCTTTTGCTTTTAATTTTGAGTGTTTATTATATAACGGTTGCCAATTTCTATATATGCATAAATAGCTATATACTAAGTATGTACATATGTGTATATACAATGCGCTTTCTCTCCCAAAGTATTGTACGAAAATTAAAAATTACATTGGCTCTCGAAAAGCATGCGCAAAATGATATTTATATATTGGTTCCCATGTGAATGTGTAATAGGGTGATCCTCGGTTTCTTTTTAAATATTGATGGCGTAAAGAAATGGTTATTTTCAAGTGTTGTGTACCTGAAAGTTAAGTTATGTATGTACATATGTAAGTAAGTATATCTGTACATGACATATGACATCTGATATCACCCATTCTCAGCTTAATTGCCGCAAGATAGGCTCTCGCGCTCTCTTCCTACGTAATTTAATTGCACCATATAAATAGATTTTCGCGAAAACAGCTCTCAGTTCAAGTTGGGCGCTGTAACTGAAGCTGCTGCATTCCACCATGAGATCTTTCGTTGTCATCTGTATCGTTGCTGCCATCGTGCTGTTTGCCGGTGAGCTCCAGTGACCTCAGGCTTGGCGTGATTGTTTTTTCATTATTCCGATTCCCACGCAGCGGCAAGTGCGCAGCAGAATTATGACGGCAGGAATGGACCGCATCAGTTTGGCAGCCCGGAAAATGGGATTTACATACGCGGCCAGAACGAAGGACCCTACAATGTGCCTGGCGTGGGTGGCACATTCCAGAACTCGCCCTCAAGTGGAAGACATGAGTACACAGATGAACATGGAAATACCTACACTCACTCTCACTCCCAGTCAGAAGCATCAACCGCAAAAGGCCTGGCTTGGGCCATCACCTCCGGCTTGGCAATCATCCCGGTCATGTTTATGCGTTCATATTAATTACAAATATAGATTAAGATATTGGATATGGGTAAAAGATTTCGATACTACCGGCTGAAAAGCAGCAAGTTGTCAAAAAACATGTAATTCCATTCCCAGAAACGTTACATTACATTCCCACTTACGTTTTATTTTTTGTTATCCATTTAAACCTTGTTTTATAAATAATCCAATAAAAATTAGTGCTGAAAACAAGCCAATCTTGTGGAAAATTGATTCATCAATCGGATAAAATTATATGTTCAATGCAAAGAGTTTTAGCTTGCTAGTAATTTTAAAGCGAATATCAAAATCGAGGAATTTGATTTCCGATCATGGACAGCTTAGCCCATTGTCGATCAATGGGTATTACAATTTACGCACGAATATTATAAAACTTAAAAATTTTGTTACGTATTTCAAGTGTAAGATATTGTGGCAATATTTGTTGTAAGTAAAGAGGAAAGATGAAACTACAAGAAGCATATACAAATAATATTATTTTCCGCGATTAAACGCAAGGTGTTCAACTGTTTAAATAGAAGGGGGGTTAAGTTCGTATTTCCCTCGGTATATGCACGGTATATTTTGGAAATGAGAAGGTATATTTCGGTATATTTCTGAGGGTCAGGCGGTATATTTTATCAACACTTGACGGCTATTTCAGACGAAGAACGCGGCTATATTGTTAACACGCAGGACAGAAGTGTAAATATAGCATTTAATTTGACTTGGAAACCATATTTGTGTCTCTACGCCTCACGTTAATCGAATACGCATCTGCCCGTCCTTAGAAATAGCCAGCAACATGGATCAAATGCTCAGTCCAAACTTCTCCATTCCGAGCATTGGAACGCCGCTGCATCAGATGGAGGCGGATCAACAGATTATAGCGAATCCCGTTTATCATCCTCCGGCAATACCACAGCCAGAATCTGTAATATCCGCCCCAGTACCGGCGGCTGGACAACAGCAGCAACCAGATGCCAGCATCGCTACGACCGGCGGCAGTGGACTTTTTGGCCACGAACCATCATTGCCCTTGGCTCACAAACAAATGCAGAGCTATCCACCCTCAACGTCATATCAGCAGCAGCAGCAGCAACAGCACCAGGGACAACCTGCCGGGGGCAGTACACCGCAGTCTCTGATGCAACCACAGACCCCACAGAGCATGATGTCCCACATGATTCCCATGAGTGAGCGCAGTGCGTCTGGCGCTGGGGCGGGCGGAGACTCCCTCAGCAACATACACCAGACCATGGGCCCAGCTACGCCCATGACGCCTGCAACGCCTGGCTCTGCAGACCCCGGAATAGTTCCTCAGCTTCAAAATATTGTGTCCACAGTGAATTTGTGCTGCAAGCTGGATCTGAAAAAGATTGCACTGCATGCAAGAAACGCCGAGTACAACCCAAAACGTTTTGCTGCCGTCATCATGCGTATCCGTGAGCCACGCACCACAGCCCTGATCTTCAGCTCCGGCAAAATGGTATGCACCGGCGCCAAAAGCGAAGACGACTCCAGGCTCGCAGCGCGAAAATACGCGCGCATTATACAGAAGCTGGGATTTCCGGTGAGTACGAATCTATTTTGGATCTAGAGAACATATCATAATGCTTTGGTTGCAGGCAAAATTCCTCGATTTCAAGATTCAAAACATGGTTGGCTCGTGCGATGTTAAGTTTCCCATTAGACTGGAGGGCCTGGTGCTGACGCATTGCAACTTCAGCAGCTACGAACCTGAGCTCTTCCCAGGTCTTATCTATCGTATGGTGCGTCCGCGCATTGTGCTCCTCATCTTCGTCTCGGGGAAAGTGGTGTTGACGGGCGCAAAAGTTCGACAGGAGATATACGACGCCTTCGACAAGATATTTCCCATATTGAAAAAGTTCAAAAAACAGTCATAATCAGGTTAAGTAATTATTAGTTCTGTAATGTGTGTGCGTCTAGGGAAAATAGTTTTGTAAGTTAAAGCGTTTACTTCGCGTGTATCTCTGAATAAAACCAACTAGTTAGCTGTATTAGGGGCCAGGCGTTTTATTTTTCGTTTGTATTATGTACTTTTCGTAGAAATTTAGACAAAACTATGAATGTAGAGCGAAACCTAGAGGCACTGTGCCATCAGTGCGCCAACGTTCTCGAACTCGATCTTCTCTGTAATATTTTTCGTCTTGATTTTGTCGTCCTGCATGGCTATTACAACCAGACCAGTCGAACCCTGGTGCTTCCATCCATTGCGCTTGATCCAGCTCTCCAGTGTCGAGTCCTCAATGCCGCCCAGAAGCTCCTTCAGCAAATCCTTCTTGATGGTCTGGAAGGTGATGCCCACAACATGGCAGACAAACTTGCGAATGGAATCATGGAAGCCGCTGATGTGACGGAACATGGTTCGGTTGACCTCAGCGCGTTGCCAGAACAGGGTAAAGTCGGCACGCTCCAGTATATCGGCCAGATCGATAATGGTCTGAATGTTTTCGTCCTTCATCTGCTGCGGCAACAGCAGACACTTGGCCATAACGAAGTCCGTGTGCGGCAGATTTGTCAGCGATTTCAACAGAATCGTGTATGTGATCTCAAAGTTGAGCATGTGCGGATTGAACTGGTACAGCTTGAGAACGGCCAGGTTGGCCTCCAGGTCGTAGGTATTGTTTTTGGCCTGGTCCTGAATGTACGCCTCCAGAGTCTTCAAATGGTCTGGGTTGTAGCTGTGGCCAGAAAGCGAGGTTATGTGCATGTGTTTATTTGTTGAACAAAAGTCGGTGGCGGAGGCCCAAGCTTACCGTTCAATGCATCCCAGCATCTCCTGTATCGTCTGGCTCTGGCCATTTTCCATCTTTACAAGGTGCGACATCTCTATACAGCTGAAATAAACACGTCGTGTTTTTTTTTAATGAACGCCGTCGAAAAGAAAATCAAACAGTGTGACCGCGATTTTATCGATCAAATATACCGCCTGACCCTCAGAAATATACCGAAATCTACCTTGTTATTATCAAAATATACCGTAAATATACTGACGGACACGACAAGATGCGTTGATATTTCTCGATTTTTATATTCGGTTTAATATTACTAGCTAGTTAGCCCTCTCAGCCCGAAACAAATATTTTTTTCCAATTCCTCAATCAATTTTGTACAGGATTGGTTAATTTTTAGAATGAGGTTCAAACAAAAACGGCCAAAATGTAAGTGTTTACCGGAATGTGACGTCATTTTGCTGGTAGCTGTTTGTTATTTTACAGCCCTGGCGAAATTGTTGATAGGAGGAGGAGAGTGCAGCAGCAGCAGGACCTGAGCCTTAGAAGGAGGAGAATGGAGCAAGTTTAAGCCTTAAAAGAAGCGCAGGTCTAAACCGTAGAAAGAGCAGGTCTAAGCCTTAAAAGGAGGCAGGTCTAAGCCTTAGAAGGAGCAGGCCTTAGCTTTAGAAGGTGTTACTATATGTACATATTTATTTTATTTGTACCCGCTTACAGCACCATTTTCGTGTGCTTTTCCGTGCCTGATATTTTTCCGCCATTGAGGGTGTTTCTATTGCTGTACAGCCATCGCCTAATTCAATTGTTTCTAATGCCAATCAAGCAATAAAACTTTGCACTTTGCACTTTGCACTCTTAATTAAAATTGCAAATTTGCAGGGGTCAGATGGAAATTTAAAAACTCAGCAAAGAAAAGCCACTGAAACCCAAACACGAAGCGTTAATGAGAGACCCCTTCTCTTCTCGCTCCCCAAAAGCCATCGCCTCGCCCTGTGAGGGAGTGAGAGAAGGTGAGCCCCCAGGGGCAGAAGAGGAACCATAACGGATGGCCAGCAGGCAGAAGTGGCGACTTTTTGATACCTATTGCTACCCATCTACATTATATGGAAATTGTCAAAGCAGGCCAAGAGCTAAGCAGCAATAGATATAGAAAATATATATATAAATCAAATCTGAAGCAGAAGCAGAACGGATCTCAAATAATACAAAGCAAAAAAAAAAAAAGGAAAAGTGAATAAGAAAATCGAAAGGTAATAGCCATTAACCCTGAACTATAAAGTTGATTTAACTCTGTGTACGTTTAGTCTAGAATGGGCCCAAAACGAAATTTGAGAGAGTTGAAAGATTATAATAGAGAGGAATGGGAAGACCTTCAAGTCTTTCGGGCGAGATTGATGCAATGGAATAATGCGTTCAAACGCTTAAATAGAACTATACTAAACTTATTTTTCTTCATCTTAATTGGCATACTCATTGGCAAATATGTATTATAAATTTAACAAATTTAAAATCATTTAAATAAATGGATATGCCCTCTTTAACTCTACCCCTGCCCTTTTTGCTGTATTCCCAGGTTATTCCAACAGAAACTTGCATAAAATAACTATATTATGCCCCGGCATGGGTGGGCAGAGCAAACTGGACCCTGCCATTATCTAGCCAATGCATTGGCTGGTCATTAGAAGAGCTCGAGAGGAGGAGCAGTAGCAGGAGCAGGAGCAGGAGGAGGTGGGTTCATTGCCATATAATAAAAATCTCATATTTTATTCAAATTGGTAATGCGAGGAGATTGAGACAAAGACAAAGGCAAAGAGAGAGAGAGGGAGTGATAAAGTTGGAGTACTCCGTTTCTTTCTGCTCATTGACATTCATTTTTTGGGTCGTCTTTTTTTTTTTTTAAGGATCTTCTTGTGCACATTTTTTCTTTTGTCTTAGCTGTGCATAGAAAATTGAATTTGGTTGGTGGAAAAGTGTCCAACAATGCGGGTTCGGCCAAGGACTCCACACTGCAGGAATCAACATTTCATCCGCACTCATTTGGCCATTTTGTGGGGTCTCATTCATGCGATTTATAGATTTATATTCATGTTGTATAGAATCTATGGTTTTGCCTTTCCACCGAAAAAACTCTTGTTATTTTAAGTGGAAGTTTAATGATTTTAATACATAGATATGTATACATTTATGTAGTTAAGTTCTGTTCAAAGGAAGTATTGTTCCACTTTACTTATCATGGAAGTACATTTGGAAGTGCACGTGTCTGTGGAATCTACAGTTTTGTACAAAGGTATGTATGTACACAATTGTATAAAAAAATCACGTCCTTGGAATGTGTCGTGGTGGACTGGATTACTATGTCTTCGCCGGCTCAGTCTCACCGGCCGCAGTGGCCGCCAGTTGGGCCTGGCGTTGTTCCTCCTCCAGTTCCAGCCGTTCCACCTTTTTGATCTTGCTCAGTTTCTCTGCAATTCGGAGGGAATCTTTGGTGAAGTTTGCTCTCCAATGGTTAGACAGCGAATCATCACACTTACTTGCACATTTCAGCATAATAGTACCCCACCAGATGGACCAGCCCCAGCCCACGAAGCAGAAGAGTACACAGCAGAACTGCGACACTGCCACAATAATGTTGATTATGAAGGATCCGATCCGAGCCCGGGCGCTGTCGTATTGTGAGAATCGCGGAATGCCCACACACAGGCAGAGGAGTCCCGACAGCAGCGTGCCTATATAGCAGGAGATCTTAGAAGTGATTTGTTCAGTAAGCTGCACTTGTGGCAAACCCACCTAAGCCTGGAAAGACGACGTTACAGAAGGCACAGAACCAAGCCAAATACAGCGGCAGCACAGGAATGGCGCCCTTCATTTTGGATGCGTGTTCCACGAGATCGTTGTGCAGCTTCCGGCGTGTGTCCTACGTGCGGGAAATGGAATTATTGAGTGCTGTAAGCAAAGATCAGATCAGAGAGTATCAGCCACTTGCCTCACTGGGCGGCGGGGCTCTGATGCTCTGGCGGCGAGCATTCGATTCGCGACGCGGCTTCTTGCGACAGCAGAGCATCATTAGCCAGAAACGCTTGCAGCAGCCCCTTTAATGTAAATGGCATCAGGAATAGAAGTATGGATGGTCTGGCAGACTTACTCTTTCGCTATTGGAGCCGTTGCATCGGCAGCTGCAGATGTCATTGACGCCTCCGAAGCACCTTCAAGAACCGATGTGTCAGTGGGCTTGATGCCAAGCTCTGGATCCTGATCCCGCCAGGAAACGGAGCTACCTTTGGGCTTGCTGCGGTTCCTCCGATATGGTATGCAGAAGCAGCACTTCTTCAGCTCGGTTTCATTACCCGTGTCGTCCACTTTGTTCACCGAGCGACAGCAGAACACCTTGCTCAAACAGAGGCCGCACTTGCCTCCACGTTTTGGTCCCGTACTCATAGTGGCCTCCTGCTTCACGCTCGGCGGTTCCGGCTTGTCAGTGTCCCCGGGCGGGGGCTTCTTCCGGCAGCTCCGGCAGCAGCTCGACTTGAGCCAGTCCGTCACCTTTTTCTTCTTCGGCTTGGTCTCATCAATCACTTGGACATTGGTGGCGGTTGTGGCACTACTGTTAGCACTCCATAGCACAGGTTGATCCTCGGCCGAGGTGTTCCGTTCTCGTCGAAAACAGCAGCGGGAGCAGCGACTGCGACGACAGGGCATGAACAGTGAGGAACAGCAGCGACACAATCCCTTCTTATTGGCATTATTGTCCTTGTCTTCCAGGAACTCTTGGCTGCTGGTTCTGGTGGGAGAAGAATAGATTTTAAATAGCCTCATAAATACTTATTAGTCGCTTGTCCGCGGTCTCCGCATGCTAGCCTTGACTGGTAGCCAGGACCGGATATAAGCTTTTATGGCTTCAGGGCTTGGCAAGGTGCCAAGAGCCGGAAGTGCTGTATGATTGGAAAGTTGTTAGCAGAGCTGCGGAGCCAAAGTTCAAGTTTATGGGATACTCCTGAAGTACTTCCGCCCGTTGTATGTGTATAAATTACTCATACTCATTCGCATGGAAAGCATTAACACATCTGATGGATGATGGATGGATTATGCAGATGTAACACTTTGTAGTCCAATATATTATTGCAGCTCTATCTGCTTTTTATCCTCCTCTAAAGAACCTTTTGTGAAGGTAATTCGCTCACCCGAAATGTCAACTCAAAACACGAGAATCCCTTCGGGTCGCTTACACAATTTGCATAGGCCCAAAGAACGTAAAATTTATATTGTATGGGCAGCCATGTAGTATATGTTTTTGGGGCTTCGAACGCCTTTAATTCCGTTGTGCACGAGCCAACGACCAAACGCAATTTGGAGGTCGGTAATTTATTTGACCCGCGCTGAGCGGAATCGTATGGAATCCAACAAAACTTCGAGCTTGGAGTACTCGTGGCAGAGTGACAACAATCGGAATGAAAGAAACTTTCTTCGCATTTAGTTGCCAGTTTTCGTATTTAAATTAATCGGCAAGGTCGTCGTCGGTGCGTTCAGTTGACGAACTATGCCACAGCTATGCCCACTGATGGCAGACGATTAAGTATAATAGGAATAGGAATCTGGAAGCTAATGCTCCTTGAGCTTACGTTACCTAAAGAAATACTTATCGCCATCTATGAACGAGTCCTGCGTCAGATCCACCGTATATATAACCGAATTCTTGCTCGTTTCGTTCAGCATTTTTGCAAATTAACTGAATTGTTTCTCGGATTAAATGTGGGAAATTCACAGGCACTCTCTATGGGTCTATGGGTCTATTGGGGTTTTTGAGAGTAGAGCGTCGGGAGTCGCCTCACGGGAGCTTGGCTGCGGTTAGCGCGATTGTCCGGCCGAAACTGATTTGTTATTGCGGCAAGAAACTTAAGTCGTGTTGCGAAAATACTTTTAGCTCCGTGCGATATGCACGCTATACCATGCCCGTACGGTGGGGCTACCCTGGAGTGGACAGCGTCGCTCATTTCTACCAGCGAGTCCATGGGTCAGGGTGCCCACTGTAATGGGTCGGTCACACGTTTTCTTGGGGTCTCGCATGGCACACACACACAAGGATCCGGGCATATCGGTTGGCTGGAAAAACAATGCAGTGAAGGACATCGTTACCTTCGCCGACTGCGACCGACCTGACGACCGACCGACGACGACAAGGTAGGGAACGGATTTCCTCAAAGGCGGTCGTCTGGTGTGGGCTCCCGAACCCCCAGCCGTTCCATAGACCCCCACTTCGTGTTGTGTTCAAAATTTATTGACGCACTTATGAGTGGCTTGACGGACCTGTGCCCGACCGAACCACCACGACAGGCAGCACCAGCGCCAGCCCACACGGCACTCTAAGATGTTGTTGCTGTTGCTTTGGCTGTTGCCGTTGTTGGGGGTTTCCTGTATGTAAATTGACGACTGGCCAGGCGCTGCAAGCCTTGTCCAGCTCCTTACGTGGAGACTCTACGGTCGAGGCAAAAAATTAGTACTGTCCGTTAGCCTTCCCGCCCAAAAATTCCACACAAGGCAGGACAGATCCTCGTGGGGCTAGGCCCATGAATATTCATGGTGTTTCCACCAATATTAATAAGTTTTCCAAGAGGGTTTCCCCGCTACTCACTTTGCCATGCCACCACTACCCGCCGCGGAGCCGCCCTGTCCGTCCGGAGAGCGTCGCTTGGCGTCCACCTTGAAGTCCGCTCCGTTCTCGGGCGTTGGCATCACATGGCCGCCCAGATCCGACTCGGACACGTCCAGAACTGTGGGCAGGTCGGAGCTCTCGCACTCCACCTCGGGCACACTGGATATCGTTGCCCGCTCATTTGGGGGGTGCACCACAGAGACGGCCGCCTCGATGGGCTGTGTGGGCGGAAACGGAGACTTTGCCTGCTCCGCCGAGCTCTGGGCAGCATTGCCCCCATCCGCTGTCCCTGTCCGTGACTCGGAGTCGCCTGGCTTGGCCGGCATCGAGCCAGAGGTGGGAGTGGGAGCGGCAGAGGCAGGGGCATCTCCAGTGAGGCCCATGTCGTTCTCCAGAGTCTTCAGATCGGTGAGGTTCTCGCTGATGGTCTTGTGGATCTCATCGGTGGCCTCCGTGACGGTCTTCTGTATGTTCTCGAGCGTTTTCTGTGACTTTTCCAGAATGGCGGCCGGCAGACCGCCAGCATCATTGGACTTCATCCGAGCAGCGGGACTCGTGGCCTCTGCAAGGAAACAATACGAAGAGATAATCATAGCTTGGGTCTGGGCGAGCATTCAGTTTGGAATCTCACCTTCGGTTTCGTGCGCGATCTCTGGCACTGTGGCCACCTTTCGATTCTGCGGCGAGTCCGCACGACTCTTTTGGCTGAGCATGCTCAGCCGGGAGCTCATCCGCACCAGCTTGGTCATGTTCACGCCTTGGCCTCGGCGCCTCTCTGCTGGCGTAGAGGGGACGGTCACCTCGCTCGTCACCGCCGGAACGGCTTCGGCTGCCTGGAGCACCGCGCTGCCCACCTGGGCAGCCAGTGGAGTCATGTTTGCTGCTGGTGCTGCTGCTGCATCCCCTCCATTGGCACCTTTTTCGTGTACATTCCCCTGGGATTTGCTGGCCGTGGGTGCGGGCGGTCGCTTGGTCTCCGTTGTCGCCGCTCCTCCAGGTGGCTTGGCTTTCATCTGCTGGGATTTGGTGCGCGGCGGAGCCACTGGTTGTCCCTGTCCACTGCTCTTGGCTGCTGGCTGCTTTCCCTTCTCGGCTTTCGCATCCTTCGCTGCGGTGAGTGTGGAGGATGGCGCCTTGGGGGCTGGCCTTTTCCCCGTTCCCTGTTCCCTTCTGACAACTGGTGTCCGCTCCGCGGCCTTCACAGCTCTCACAGATTCTGTCCTGGACTTGGGTTTGGCACTTGCAGGTTGCTTGGGTGTGGGCTTTGCCTTGGGGCTTCCTTTTGGCGGCACTTTGCCCGCTCTGGCTGCCTTGGGTGTCGTTGCCGGCGCTCCCTTGGTCTTCTTGGGCGACTTTGAACGCTGCTTGGATGATGACGGCGGCGACTTGGACCCCATCTTGTCGGACTGTCGTGTGGGGATGCGGGAGCGGGAGTTGCGACGCGACAAAGTCTCCGGTATCTCTGGCTTCCCCCGAATGGACACGGACATCCGTCGAGCCTGTGTGGTGGCCGCCGGACTGATGGACTTTCGACGCCCCAGCATGCCGCTGGCTGGACTCAATGAGATGGACTTCTTGCGACCGGGTTGCGGCGTGGTTCCCCGTATGCTCCTGTTCCTGGCCATGGTGATGGGCGAGACGCTGGAGGATCGCAGCGAGGAGTTTATGCTCAATCGGGAGTTGGCCCGTGAGTTGCTGCGGGAGTTGGCCTGCTCCCGGGCCTGCTCCATGCGAGAACTTGGCCTGGAGGGCGGCCCCCTGGACACAGATCGCGACTCTCCGGGTCGCGCACTCTCCCGTGACGGCGTCCTGCTGTGGACCATCGCCCGAGAGGGCGAGCGACTCGTGCTTGCCCGTGAGGTGCGCCCCGAAGCGGTTGGAATCGTGGCCACAAATTCCTTCGACGGCGAGCTGGAACGAGATTCTACTCGGGAGCCAGGCTGACTGCGAATCGGAATGCGGGAGAGCGAGTCCCGACGCGTGGACACCTCGGACTGGGTGTCGGCAGCGTCTCCAGCGTGCCCCATCATCGAGGCTGCATGGTGGCCAATCTGCGGGGATCCTCGGCGCCCAATCAGCGAGGATCCGTGGGTGGGACTCTGCCCGGAGCTGCTGTCCTTGTTGGGAGTGCCGAGGATCGGGGACAAGCTGCTGGGCTTTGCGATCTTTCCGTGCTTCGCATGCGGCGGTGGCTTTGGGTCCCTCTGGTGGACGGACTGTCGTCGCGGGCTGCGCCCTGGGATTGGCGCCTGCACCGACTTGCGACGCAGCCGCGACGCTGGCAGTGTGGCGAGCGATGGGCGGCGGAAGCTAAAGTCCGAGGTGGTGGCGGTTATGCTGCTCAGGTTGGAGCTGCGTCGGTCCGAGGCCGTTTGGGTGGAGCTCCTTCGCTCCGGCGAGGTGGAGCTGGAACGACGACGAGCCTGCGCGTGGCCGGGGTCAAAGGATGACCGTGGACTCGGTGCCAGGGCCAGGTCATCCAGGCTGCACCAGTTAGAGCGAGGAGGGATGTGGGCGAGCGCCTCCTCCCGGTTGATCACCTTCAGGAGTCCGCGCTGCTTTCGCGTGGGGTTGTGGTTTGGCTTCAGTGGGCGTGGCAGTCCGCCCGGCGGAAAGACGGCCGCTTCCTTGCCCAGGTCCATGGCGGAGTAGTGCAGCCGCGGAATGGCGCTGCGATAGGGATCGGCTATCAGCGGCAGGCTCTCCATGCTCTTGATCCGCTGCCCGTACCCATGCGACAGCTGCTGCGGCAGGCTGATGCCCATGGAGCCGCGTCGCTGGGCCCGCGGCGTGTACGTGTCTATGGAGGAGGTGAGCGAGTCCCGCTGCTGGAGGATGCCCTTGGAGGGAGTCGCCAGCTTGCTGCGACTGTGGCGCCCACTCATGTTGAACTGCACCGAGGGCCGTGGCGAGTCATCGGCTGTGTGGAGTGGATGCGACTGGGGCTGCTGGTGGCTGGTGCTGGGATACGGCGAGTAGGCCAGGGATGATCCCGGCAGCTCAGGCAGTCGGGAGTCGCTGGGAGTCTTGCGACGCGGCAGGATCGGCGGCTTGGTGGCCATGGATGAGGTAGTCGATGTCGACTGTATGGAAGCGTGCCTCCTGGCGGCGGTGGCGGCGGCTCTCCTGGCGGGGCTGTACGCCGGCGACGGTTGCGGTTGCGGCGAGCGCACTGTGAGGATGGTAAATGCAGTCTTCTTGTGTGGCCGTGGTTGCTCCACGCTGGACGGAGAGAGTCAGAAATTAGAGCTGCCCAGGAGAGGGAGAGGGTGTCTTTCCCACTTACCGATAGTCCCCGCCCACGGAGATGGAGTCCTTCATGATGATCGGGGACATTTCCCGGTTCATTGGGGGTGGGGCTGGGCATGAGCCGACACTCGCCTCCGTGTCTCTGCAGCTTCTCTGGTGGTGGTGGCAAGGAGGCGGGTCAGCGGGTGGCGGCGTCGGCGGGCTGTAGTCCTCGAGCAGCTGCCGCTCGCTCACCGCACTCATCCGTTCCAGCTGCTGCTCCAGGTAGTGCTTCGGTGAGAGTATGACGTCCATGTCCTGCATCGCTGACTGCTGCTCGCTGAGCCCGGTGGCCAGCCGCTCCTCGCCTCCGCTGCTGGAGCTGTTCATGTCCTGGATCATCGTGGCCAGCGGGGAGAGCGGCACCTCCTCCTGCTTCATGGACATGATGTTCTTCGAGCTGGGCCGCAGCTTGGGGATGCGCGTGAACTCCGGAAAGTGCTGGGCAGCAGGTCGGAACCAGTCCCTGCCCGCGTAGGAGTCGCTCAGCAAACTGCAACGGATAGAAAGACAGACAATAATGCATTGACCGATGGACGGGATGGGATGGGCTCTTACCCCTGGTGATGCTCCTCTGAGGTCATGGTGGAGACACTCTGCTTGCCCGCCGTACGGCTGGGCGTCTGTGTTCGCTCCTCCTCGCGATCGAAGTCGGAGCGTGGCATGTACTGCGACTCCTCACTGGGGTTGGCCAGGTCGTACATGTCCGGCTTATTGAGGATGTCGTCCGGCGCCAGGAGTCGATAGTTGGGCGAGCCCAGCTGTTCGGAGCTCGAGCCGCCGCTGGAGTTGGGCAGGATCTGGATATCGGGCGGCTGCAGGTGCGGAATGAGCGATGCCCGGGGTGTTCTCGTGTAGGGAATGTTCGAGAAGATCCTCTGCCTGAGCCGCGCCTCGTTGCCCATCAGCGCATTTAGGGCCACGGCGGCCACAAGGGCATCCTCCTCCGAGCTGGGCATCTCCAGCGAAGCAGATCGCAGCGTCTCAAAGGCCGCCGTACCGAAGTACTCCTCCACCTGCGTGGGCGGGGGCACGGGATCCCCGAAGAGACTGCTGTATGGCTGAGAGTCCCGCTCCGAGCCCAGCTCCAGGACTGTGCTGGCCGTCGGCTGGCGTATGAAGCTCTGTGTGGATGTGTACGTCGAGGGGGCCATGCTCGTGTGGGCGTGGGAGTGCTGCTGGTGGTGTGGGTGTGGGTGGGTGTGGGTGTGGTAGCTGTAGTCAACCGGAATGATGGCCGGCTGGAACCTGTTGTTGGGATCGCTGCCTGTTGAACCGGGTCGTGGATGGGTGTGGGTGGGGGCATGGGTGGTCGCTGGGGTGTGTGGTGTTCCGGCTGGCGTTGGCATCGGGGATGGGGATGGCGATGGCGATGATGATGAGTACGAGAGGGTCTGCTGCATGATTTGACATTGGTACGGTCGTTCGATCGATCCCTCTCTCGCCTACTATGAGTCCTTGTCCATTCTTCTGGCCATGTCAAAGGATTACGCAGGATACTTTGCTATATTTTGTTTGTCCTTCGCTTCGTTTCGCTTCGTTTTGGCTGCAACAGAACCACCAACAGACGCCAAAAACTGTTTATTCAAAAGCAACAGAGAAACACTCGTATTCGTATTCGTATTCGAAAATCACTCGCACACAATGCATAAATATTCTTGAGCTTGGAACAGAACAGAAGAGAACAGACCAGACCTTCCGGCCATTGCAATGTCAGTGAGACAGTCAGTCAGTACACGCGACGCGGGCGACCGTGGGCAACTGAAAGGAAAAAGCCACCGCCAACTGCCTGCCGTTTTGCTCCCAACTTTCCGATTTGCACTGCCAAAACTGTGGCGAAAATAGTAATTATTATTATTATTATTTGTACGAGTATATTTTCTAATGCCATTTCACTCCATTTTGCATCCTATAAATAGCTGCGTGTGCCGCGCTGATAAACCCCATGCAATCGGAATGCAACACCACATCAAGCACTCCAACTCCACATCCATATCCAACTCCACATCCAACTCCCCAGGCCGTTAAGCCAACGCTAACGAGAGCAGAACTTGATGAGCGCTCAACAGTCTTCGGGCTTATGGCTGGGAGATGGATGGTGTGGTGTTATGGCAATGGCTACGCTACGGCTACGGCTATGGTTTTGCATTGGATTGGATTGCATGTTGTAAATTGCCGCATTAGTGACTGCACTTGAGGACCGCCCGAAGATGTTGGGGCTGGCTGCCAGCAGCCAGCAGACACCAGCTATCAGCTGAACATGATGTTTTAATTGCTCTCCCTCTCTCTATTTTCATACAGATACTGCGAATATTGGATGGAACTGCTTGGTGGGGGTACGCGGTAGGCAAATTGTAGTTTTATTTTGTGGCATGACGTAGGCCGCTTGAGAACAGGCACAGCGACGGGTTGGAATGGGATGGGATGGGATGGGGCAGGTGTGAATGAGTGCCATTCTTCGCATTGATTTTCCTTTGCCTAATATTTAACCTACATTTTATGTGGCGCTACTCGAATTTCGGTGACACACTTTGGCTCACAGGAAGTGACTAGACCGGCGTGTTGTGTTATGGCCATGACGCGTGCCGGCCCTGTGCCTGTGCCTCTGCCTGTAAGTTGGTTTTTGCGCAAAATTTTCCCTCTACTATAAACACTTTTCTGGATTACAGGCACTTTTCCTGCATCTCATTACGGCCTGGGGTCACACTTTAAGGAACGTTTTTAATGACTTAAACCCCCGGGCAGATTGGTACAGGATAAATGATGTCCCAGCCTTATGTAATTGCTATTTAAATTAGTTTCAATTGTGCAGCAGAGTAAACTCTAATAAAGTATCATTTACACAGAAATGCCGCGAAAAACGAACATTGGAAATGGCGAGCGAGAGCGATTGCGATTGAGCCCACCGATGGGCTGGGCTGCCGTTGGCACTGCCTGAATAGAACTGACGACGGCGCCACGGCGCGGTAAGTGAGCAAAGAAAGCCTTCAAGAGAAATATTGCCTACACTTCAAATTCAAACAAAGCAAAGCAAGTCACAACAACACAACACCAAAGGAAGCGCCACTATGTATAATAATAATAGTATGTTAGTTTGTAGTGTGCACACGCAGACACGCTGAGATACTTCTACGTACCAAAGAAACAACCAAGAACTCTGCCTTACACATCTCGACTATTAGATACCCGCCGCAGCTCTGGTTTAGTAGCTTATAGTTCCAGTTAGTGGACAGCTTTGCAATGGTAGTGGCGAGATATTTAGATATAGCCTTAAAAGGGCAATAAGTCTTTGATCTTGATCGGTGTATCTGAGAGCGTAATGAGGAATATATATATCACTCAATCGAACCACTCGAACAAATACAAAATATACTCCCCGATTAGTGGGCATGCAACAAAAGAAAAGAAATGTAAAAGCAATCGGCAGCGCCAGTGCTGCCAATTCGCCGCACTATTTCGCCGCACGGCGGGGCGCTGCATTGCCCGTAGGCGTAGCTTCTCTCTGGCCGGGCCGGGCCGGGCCGTGTTGTGTTGTGTTTGCATGTTTGGTTCATCTTCTCTGCCTTCTGCTGCTTAGACAACTTTTGATTGTTTCCCAGCGCTGAGCTGTGACACCTGTTGGCATGTCTCTGGCACGCGATGTCCCTACACACACACACACACAAACACTCAATATATCCAATACATAGTATATTATATGTATATGTAGGTCCTATATTTTTGATACACTTGATACACACACTTCCCGGTCTTAAATCATATTTTTGGGATGCTCCCACTGACGGGTATCTGCACGCACGTGAGGCATGGCATCGCATGAGACTCCAAGCCACGAGGCTAGGATGTGGCAGCCAGGACATGGACATAGCCGAGTCGAGCACAGGCTGGGTACAGTGCGGTTTTCCTTGGCTTTGGAATAGGGTCAAAACCGCAACAAATTTCATTTTGCCTTGTGCAGCGGCAAAGAGTCAACAACACTTGGGGCTCCACGGCTCTCCTATGCCCACGGCGCACTGTTGCAACATCAAGACAACAGCAACAGAAAAAGGTGAAGCAAAAGCAACAGAAACAACGACTATACTCGTAAACCCTCTAACAAAACCCACTTGACTCGGCCTGGGGGCTGGGGGCTGACTCTTAAGTGGCAGTGACGGGTGGGAAAATCCTTGGCTAATGTCGTGATAGTCCCCGACTACCCCAGGGCGACCGACGACTCCAGCAAAAACGTTGAGTTCGTTTCCCCAGAGCAGGGTCCAAAGTCATAGGAATTCCTGGAGACATCTATGAAGTTAACTTTTTGCCGTTGGATGGTTCGGCGTTGTTCCATTTTCATGATATTTTTTTTTAATTTAGATGTCGCGTCAAGTTCTTGTTTATCGATCGTTTTGAAGTGATTTTGGATTTAATCGCGATTTGTAGTTTAGCGAATTTTGAAAAAATATTGAAAATAAAATTGAATTTTAAATGGAATACCCAAAAATCACAACACGCATTGGCATCGATCCGATGCACTGCACTCGCCGTTCGTAGAAAAACTAATCCGCCAAAGGCAAATACCTTCTTATACGTGTGGGGCTATCGTCGTCCTGCGCTCTGGGGATGACCAGTCGAGGCGGCCGCCGAAGGAGTCGCCGACCGAGGACGACGATTGTCGAAGCCGCCGTTTGGGCCAACGTACACACACGTACGGGTATACGTGGGTCAGTAAACCTACTTCCGGTTGACATAAATACGCCTTGGACATGAAAACTTGGCACTGGCGGCGCGCCGCAAGTTGTTTTTATTGTTTCAAACTTTTTACCATGACTCAAGCCAAATGGACACCCATAGTACCCGGGCAGCACAACACACACCACACAGCACACACCACACACAACAATGGAGGAGTGCAGATCTGGATTTCTTTTTGGGGGAAATTGAATTCACGAAATCGTGTCTCCTCAGTGATGGGGCTTCCACTTACTTCCTTCCTTCTCCCTAAATGAGTGACTTTTCCCCCACATAGGAGCAGCTCATCAGCGCTGATCTGGGCTTGGTTCTCCATGGTTGTGTGGGGGTGGGGAGGGGAAGACTAATCATCTCGGCCTTCCCTTCTGCTGACCCTAATCAGCCATGCCAAACCCCAAACGCAAACCGAGAAAGCCAAAATCCCTTCTGACTGTGCTTTCATAATAATTCATATAATTTTAAGCTGCACCTTTGAGCACAAAACAAAACAGAAGGAGCGGCTAGTAATTTCGCTGCAATAAGATTTTCCCACGCGATATTTGACTTTAGTTTCTCCGCTTGTCAGTTTATCCCATCGCACACCTGTGCTATGTACGAGAGGCACATCAATGCTTGACCCACATAGAGGAGCCCCAAATTAATATCAATTGCTGGTCCGAGATTGCGTGTGCGAATATACAAATGTACGAGTCCGAGTCCGAGTCCCCCGCCATCCATTGGGGATTGAAAGGCATTTAATTGTAATTGACTGTGACCGAGGATTACACAATGACTAAGTGGCAGTCGGTGGACGCACCTTGGGCGAAATTAAGTAATACTCGTAATTATTATTATGTGTATATACACATATAAATAGCTTAACGCACAACAAATAAAGGTCACAGTTTACTAGGCCACAGGGAATTCCATGGGCCAATTGTTTGGCCCCTTTGGACGGCTTAGGCTAACCCAAGGTAGTTTCTGGTAATAGTTTAACAATATCCCATACTTAGAGGCAGCTTCCGAGATGAGACTTAAACACTCTAAAATGTTGAACAGAGCTTTGATCATTTCCGCATTGGCAAACTGCACATATCTTCCTCTCAATAAACATTTGCAATAGTTTAAAGTTGATGTGGGCCGCCTTGATGCGCATCGTTAGGCACAGCAAAGCCGTCGAACCAGTTGAGTGGAAACCATCGCTTTCAGCTCGAGTGATCCTCACTCTCTTGATTCGATTTTAGATAAGCAAAGCTAGCAGAGAGCACAGAGGTTCAGCTTAAAATCCAGCATGGTCTTTATTTTGCAAAATTTGTATTGTGATTACTTAGAGCTAGAGTACATATTAATGTATCAATAATTTAAAAGCGCATTCACATAGATACTATTCAAATATTGTCATAGTCTTCGTCTAATTCGAAAATGGTTTCAGTTGGGGTCGTTGTTGCCACAGTGGCCTTTGGAATGATGGGAGCGCTGCTCTTTCCAGCCGTTCCAGCCGCTACAATATTCGTCAGATCGATATTGATAACTGGAGCCGCAATGTCAAAATTGAACTCGGCGTTGGCGGCATCTGCTTCTGCCTCTGGGGTGCACAGGTTGGTGGTCGGCATATGCACGTTGCTGTAATCGATTTTGACTATTGGCTTATTGAGTTCATAGCTGCAGATCTGAGCAGGTATGGCAGTGTCGTGCAACTGTTTCTTATGGTAGGAGTTTGGGTTGGGCGGTCTGCCCCGCGGTGTGTAGGACGGAGTTGATTCCGAGCGAGCCAACTTGGCCGGCACGTGTCCCATCTGTAGCTGGTGCGTGTGCGCCACAGTTGGCACAATGACTGATGGGGTGTGTGTGGATGGGGGGTACTGCTGCTGCTGCTGCTGCTGCCGCTTCAGGCCGGTGCCGTTCAAGCTCATTGAGCGCATGTAGGGGCCGATAGCGGATCCGCCTCCATTCGGCAATGACCGCACAGATGTGGATGGCAGGCTAAGATCGTATGGCGTATCTGAGTCCGGATATTGCTCTGGTGAGCTGTCATCGTTGTAGGAGCTGGCCTCCTCGGCCACACTGATGTCTGGTATATTCCGGACGAGCTCCTTGAGGAAATCGAACCGCTGCTCCGACATAATGCACTGCTTCATATGGGACGTGGACAGTGTCTTGGCATTGCGCGAGTTCGTAATGCGCATCGTCTTTGTTAGCAGCGACTCCACGAATAGCTCCAGCGTCCGGGAAATGATAACGGGTACCGCCTGTGCAACCTTACCAATCTCCTCATCGCTCTGCATGATCTTCTTGATGCGACCCTGTGGAGTAAAATATTAAAATCGAATCAATGCCAAATCACACCTGGCTCATGCCGCTCTACCGCTGCGCCCACAACACAGCGCCTCAGCCTCTGATTATGTGAGTATGTATGTACACATGCATAAAAACTGATAACCCTTGTCGGTGCACGCCAGAGCCCGAAATATTGACCACTTCCGCTTCGTCTGTACTCACCGCTGGGAAGCGCGCGTTGTATTTTTTCTTTTTCGATGGCATTTCTCCTTGTGAAGTAAAATAGCAAGTCCTAGCGAAATATAACAAATGTGTGTGTGTGTTTTTTACACAAGAACAGTTCCTTGGGCCCCAATCAGTGTGACCGCGTATGTATCGATCAAATATACCGTCAGAAATAACTCAGAAATATACATTTTTTGGTTCGTTTTTTCCTTGGTATATTTACGGTATATTTGGATGGTATATTTCTGAGGGTCAGGCGGTATAGATAAATCCGCGGTCACACTGCATACAAGTAGTCTGTGTTATACGAAATTTTAATTTGCGTTTAAAATCAATGAAAATAGCTTTACAATTACATGTCTGCGAACCGCAATAAGGATCCTTGCAAAGCGAACGCCTGCCGTATACAAGCCTGTTTGAACGGTGCGTACCTAAAATGGTTTCTTTCGTTATTATGTAAGCTTGTGCCACTTAACAAACATCCGCATTGCAGAAAACAGATACCAGGAGAATAAATGTGCTGACGTTCTCGAGGCTATGCGCCAATGTTGTCTAAAGTGGCATAAGGTATCGCTTTGTTGCAGTGGAATCGATTTGGAAAAACCATACCTAACAGAAGCATCCAAAGGTGCCGGCAAGTCGTGAGTTTGAGATGCACTTTATGCTGTAAGTTGCGCTAACTTTCATTGCCAACAGTGAAAAATAATGACCATACCGCAGTACAAGCCCCCAAAAGACATTCAAGAGTTGTTAGACAAAAAGGAACAGCAGCCGCCACAACAACAATCTGGTCAGCGTCGTCGTACAGCCGTGCTGCCCAAGCGCAGTTGGATACAGCGAAACCCGCGACTGTTTCAAATCTCTTTCCTGACGAGCTCCCTACTCATATTCTTCTCCAAGCCAATTTACGACGCGTTCATAGCAGATCCCTTGCCTCCCAGTGAGATTCGTGTGCCGCCACACAAACGTTAAGGAATGGAATCGGTGCGCAAAGCCAACCAACGTCTCCGCAACTACCCAATTCTGCTTACCAAGTGTGCCGACAAGGCCTCAGCATATGCCGTTTGTGTGTCGCGCGACCTGAACGTGCAGCATAAGATCTGCGACGCCGAGTTTAAGGAATTTTTGAACTGCATTCGAAAGAGCGCAATGGAACTAAAAACAAAGTTGTAAACGAAGAACAATAAACAAAATGAAACGAACGAAAGTCGCAAGTACCGGATGGCAACGATTTGGCCGTCAAATCCTGCAGATTAGCTTTCGAACCCATCTACTGATCTCCGCTTTACTTCGCCTTGTTCTGATCTGCTACGGACAAATACACGACAGTAAGTCTGCGGTGCCGTACACGGATATCGACTATAAAGTGGTCACAGATGGAGCTCGTCAAGTGCTGGCAGGAGATACTCCGTTTGCCAGGCACACCTATCGTTACAGCCCTATAATGGCATACCTTCAGACACTAAACATATTGGTACACCCGGCATGCGGAAAACTACTTTACGCAACGTTCGATCTACTCATTGCCACTCTTATATATCATCTGGTGCACATGGAGATCAAGAGTCAGTACCAAAAGACTGTGCAGCATCTGCTCAGCAAGTTCAACAGGCCCCAGGAACCAGACCAATCCCTCGATGCGTTGGACGAACGCAGTCATCCGGAAAACATAGCTCGCGCCTCCGCATGCTGTTGGCTCTATAATCCGCTGACGGCAGTTATATCCACCCGTGGCAGCGGCGACTGCTTTTCGAGTTTCTTTGTGATCTTGACCATATATCTGCTGATAAGGTCGGAGCACAAATCGTCGCACAAGCATTGGCTCATCTTTGCCGCTGGACTAGCGCACGGGTTTGTGATCCATTTACGCCTATACCCGTTGCTATTCAGTCTGGCCTACTATCTGTCTTTGTCATCACGTCTAACGCGAACGCCTTTGGACTTTCTACTCCAAGTACTGCGCCCCAACAAGCAACAGCTCTGCCTGGTCCTAGGCACACTTCTCAGTCTTGTGGCCTTCACGTGGACTTTCTATTCGCTCTATGGCTGGCAATACATCTACGAAGCCTACCTCTACCACTTAGTACGCAAGGACTCGCGTCACAACTTCTCACTGCAGTTCCTGCTACAATATCTGGGCAGCGCGACGGCAGTTGGGGAGCCTGCGTTGCTGACGAAGCTCCTGGTTGTGGCGCCACAGTTTTGTCTCATTCTCTACCTAAGCCTCAGCTTTGGCCAGTTTCGTCAGACGCTGCCATTTTGCATCTTCACCGTGGCCTTTGTAATTGTTACCTACAACTCCGTGGTGACCTCACAATACTTCATCTGGTACTTGGCGATCCTGCCCCTGTGCCTGAACAACTTCAAACTCCTGTCGTGGAGCCGATCAATATTCCTGTTGGTACTTTGGCTGTTGGCCCAGGCGCTGTGGCTGCTACCCGCGTATCTGCTGGAGTTCAAAACGTGGAACAGCTTCAACTGGATTGGACTGCACAGCGCGGTGTTTTTTGTAACAAACGGATACATACTAGAACAGCTCTTGAGCCACTATGGATTCACACAATTTAAGATTAGTTATAGGAAGTTACTTTAATCAAGAAACTGTCCATACTACAAGTATGTTTAAAGAAGAGTTTTATTAAATACATATGTAGAAGACGATATCACAATTCAGATAGTTAAAGCTTGTACTTGCTCAGCTCTTTGTAATGTTTAAGTACTTTATGTAATTTAATAGTTTTTCCACTTCCGCAGCGTGCAACTTGTTCACTTTACCGTGAACCACCCAGATGTCTCTGGATCCGATCTTTTCCATCTCGAAAACATTCCCTTGCTTATTCCACACTGCATCGGAAAAGTGTTTTTGAACACTGCGGTACAGTGACCGTGCACAGATTGTACTTATTGTTAATTGGTTAACCTTGATGATGTCGGCTCGATTCCTGTACATGGTTGTCACTGCCTCGGAGTCCTTCCCCAGAGTCTTATCCGTTGACAGGAACATATGGTATAGCCACTTCCGTTCGGCTGGCTTTTCCAGACACAGGAAACACAAAGTTTGGGCGTAGGCATGGGCGTACGGATAATCGTTTGGGGGAAGTACAGGTGGAACGTTAGACTTTAACATAATTCTGCTTAGAATCGTTGGAAATGTTTTAATGGTAATTTTGGGCTGCTCTCGATCTGTAGAAGTAGGAACCTCAGTAGGAGCCTCCTTTTTTTTCCCCCTAATGCGAGGAGTGTCACGACGTCGTTCAGAAATAATCAGCACTGGAGTTTGGGATGACTTAATTTTGTCGGAGGAAGTAGAGGTACTGGTACCACTGTTTGTTTCGACTTCCATTGCTTTTGGTTTATTCCTTCCAACTATACTTTTCTTGTGAATGTCTGTGAAATAACTAAGGAATAGGACACTGAACTCATCCTCTTAAATGGACGGATTGTTGAGTTTTAGCTCGAAATCAAACAAATTATTTCGCCAGAAAAACAACAGAAAAGCTTTTGAGTGATGTTAGTGATGGGAACTACCTACATCGTGCTTTTGGACTTAATTTACATCCGAATGGCAAATATTTATCAGTATACCACATTTGGTTTGAAATTTAATAGGAAAAATGTTAGTTTATCAGATAGATTTAAATTTATTTACGATTTTCGTGCAAGTAACACAAGTAATGATAGATTCTGTTGTTCTGCTCATCTAGGTAGTCTGAAACTATTTCTTGTACTGGTTCCCACTTCATTTCAGACTCGATCACGTTGACATTGATCCAGTGCTCTCGGTTCATCCGATTCTTAACTAAAAATGTAACTTCTTTGGCGTCAACCGTGAATCCTCCGATGATACATCCTGGTTTGAAATTGTCTGGACCGAACTCATAATAACGTTTGCCATTTTTTTTTACTTCCCTTGCTGAAAACCTTTCTACCAATTTTTCGTTTGCATCAGTTGCCAGGTGAGGAACACCTGGCAGCAGTAATTTCTGTAAATGATTCTTGAAATTCTCCTCAAATTTATACTTGTGTAGAGTGTAAGAAGCTTTGCTTGGCTTATTCGACAACACCATAGCTTTCGGTTCCATCGTAGGATCTGAAAGGAATCTTCGCGACTTCTATAATTCCTAAACTTACCCGTCTGATTGTCAATTTCAACTGTTCATGACGACTGACAGCATGATTCAGAGATTTTCACAACAAAAGCTCCCAAAAGTTTTGATAGACCAGAAATGGATTTTTATTCAGGTACATAAATTTAATATAGCTGTGGGAAAATGTATTATCATTTACCATTTTCCTGCAAATAACACAAATAATTATATAATTTATTGTTTTGCTCATCGAGACAACCGGATACTATTTCTTGTACTTCTCCCCATTGCATCTTAGACTCAATCATTGCTTCATTTACCCAGTGTTCTTTGCTTATCCGATTCTTTACTAGTAATGTAACTCCTTTTGGGTCTAACGTTGGTCCAGATATGATCTCTCCAGGTCTAGATTCCTCTGAGCCGAATTGATAGTATTGTTTCCCATTTTTCTTAATTACGTTTGCGGAAAATCTTTCGACTGCATCTTCGTCCGGTCTAGTTGCCAGGTGAGGAGCGTCCGGAAGTAGTAACTTCTGCATACGGATCCTGAATTCTTCCTTAAATGTGTATTCGTTGTGCGTAAGACCCGACACTCTTCCTGAAGTTTCGCTAGTCTCGTCTCCAATTGCCAATACACTTGATTTCAACTCCATCCTGGGATCTGAAAGTAATTTCGATGAGAACAGTGTCCATTTATGCGTGACATCTTTACGCTTACCCGGCTGATTTGGCGCAGCAAGTTAGGTTCTCTATTTATTTACAATTTACAAATGAAATTTCACAATAAAAAGCTCACAACAAAATGAAATGGGGATGGTACATTTATCGCAAGCAGCTGAATGGCACGAAAACATCGGCAGTTTTATTTTTCGCGCACTTTGGCGGTCATTTGAAATATAATATTGTACATCAACAGAATCTATATTCATATAAATATGTGTATTTGAGCAATTACTGTTTCCCATACAGTTATACCATACGTACATACATATATACAATATATATTTATATTTTTGAGGGATCCATTGTTAAAAATGTTCACACATTTACACATTGAACACCGTTCAATATAATGTTTTTGGATGTTTAAAAGCAACAAGCAAAAGTTCGTGTTGATGATCTAAATAAAAGATAAAGTTGTTTGGAATTGGTGATTTTTTTTGCGCCGTTCAACCCGTGAGGGAGCGAGGGACCCAGACCCAGACGCGTGCTAGATAGCGACTGCAGGTGTCTATGATAGGTCGTGGGGGGGTTTTTCTTTCGGTCGAACCATATCATTATTATTTCTGATAGTTTCGTGATGTAAGGGAGCTGCAAGGACGGCGGCCTATCTGATATTTTAGTACACGTATGTAGTAGCTGATATAGAATTGAGAAATTTGTACTTAATATTGTTTCGTTTTATTATTGTTTTATTTCGACTTTGGCTTTTGTCGAGTGGGCCTGAGATAACTCCAGAAAAGTCCCCGTTTACGGCCTTAAAATTGATGAACAGGCAGAATAAATCATATAACAATATGTCTAAAAAGATAATTGATTTGTCAACAACTGCACGCGGAAAAGTGCACCACAAAAAAATACCAGCTGACGCAATCCCCTCGTTTTCTTATGGTCCACCCTTTCCGTTTATTATGCACGGCATTTCTGCTGGATTGCTATGTATGTACATACATATGTATGTCTGTTCTGTATATGGTGCGTTGCGTTGAGGTGCTTTCCCCCCATAAACAAACATTCGCACAAATGTTTACGCTAACATATATGTATTTACGAACGTATGTACATATGTACATACATACATACATATATTCTATGGTCTGATACGCATTTTCAGGTTCTACTCCGATCCGGCTCGCACGAGCGACTGAAATCGAAATGAAACTTTTAATCTGAACTTGAAACGAATATTGTAAGTACAGAGCCGAATATTGTCGAAGCAGAGAGATCTGGAGAAGCGACTCAGAGTCGGAAGCTTTTGGAACACAAAACAGAGAGCGTAAGCGGTAAAGTAAACTGTGTCTGGAAATGTTAATTAATTTCAGGTGCGAATATTATTGTGTATAACGAAACTGGATCGGAGGCGAATAGGAAGTGAATGCCTTAGAGACATATGATCATCTATAGTAACACTATCTTGCCTGGCAACTAACACTAATGTACAGACTAAAAATGCTTGCAAATGCATGCGCAGATGTCCAAATGTAGATCGGAATCTTCTTTTACGGCCAACTTTATCGTCTTATCTAGGGTTATTACCCCTACTTCGCTGAGGTGTTAAAATTATGCGAGAGTTGCTGACAAAATTTACGACCGATACTGGAATCAACAGACTAAACAAACGATAAGAGGAGTTGGCAAAAACCCCACAAATTTGTGGTGTCGTTTTACCAGCTGATATCCGTTCAAATTACTAAGCTCTGGGTGTTTTTTCTATGAACCGCCTCTGATTGCAGATAATATGAATTAGCTGAACAGGCAGAGGGAACCCATTCCAAGGTGTCCGCAGGTGAGTATTAATCACTCCCAATAGGTATTATCACCTTATCAGTGGGCTCCCCAAAAGACAAAGCTCACGAAAAATTATTTTTCCTCATGCCTACTAAGTGTTTTTTTTTTTCGATTCGGGTGGCTCGGGTGAAAATAAAAAAGCCCCGATACGGCAGCCAGAAACGATCGGGCCGGTATAAAAACGGTCGTCGGGCACTGATATCGTTCAAAAGCCGACAAGCTAACATTCAGTCAACATCTGGGACCAGTTTCGTCGCGAAAGTGAACTTCAAATACTGAACAGCGGGAGTTCCCCTTGCGGAAGCAGACATTATCAACAACGCGCATCGCGGATCGCTGTTAGCAACAACAAACACAATTGGATATTATAACCTTAACAAACCAAAAAAACAGGGGACCACCGTCCGCTTGCTCATCACATAGCCGTAGCAGACATTCCCAAAGCGAGAGAGAGCCGACCGTGAGCGAACACCTACACATACCTACATACGTGGTAGAGTAGAGAAAGATATATAGAGAATGAGCCAATGCTGACCGGACTACAGCAACGGTGATTTTTGCGAGTGATTAGCAGTGGAAAGCAACGACAAAACCTGAGGTAATTCACACAAAATGGGAGTTCGTGTGATAGAGGCGGATTCGGCCAGTGATTCGTATGACGATGACGAGTGTTCGACGTGCAACAAAGAGCAATGCAAAGCACCGAATAAGGCCAAAACTGGCAGTGGCAAGAGGAGCCCCTCGCCCCAAGAGGGTGCCAGCTTTATCAGCAGGGATCTGGTGGGCAACTGCAAGGAGTACCGCATCGAGAACAATACCCGGGATCTGCGTATCATAGGCAATGGCAACCGGATAAGGATTGTCAGCAACTCCGGCCAACTTCAGGTCATCGGCAATGCCACTAGATTGAAAATCCAAAGCAATAGTGGTTCCCTCAAGTACACGGGGAATGACGGACGTATCTATTTGGGAAGTAATTCCCAGCAGCAGAGTGTCGACTACACTGGCTGCAACGGCCTCTTGAAGGTCGTGAAATCCCTGGATCTCGACAGCAGCGGCAAGAAGCACAGCAAGCGTGCACACACCCTCAAATCAAAGCAGACACCCAAGCAGACGCCATCGATGGGCATTGAGATCGAAAACAATGTCACGATCGTGAATGGCGTGGCCGGAAATATTGTGATCAAGAATGCCATCAATGTGAGCATATGAACCTAGGAGCAGAGCAGACAGGGAGCTCTCTAAGTAAACCTGGCCAAAGACTAATAATGTAATTGTTTCTTGCCTCTGTATTGAATTGTTCCTAGCAAGTGTAGTCATTAGTCTAATCGTATGTAACTTCCGATTGCTACAAACAAACCATTCAGCATTGTAAAGTATTATACTCCATCATATGTTTAAGTATTTACATATACATATGTATGTGCACAAAGATTAGAGCATTATTTATAGTCGTAGCATAAACCATGATGAACAAAGATTGTGCTTCATTCCAAGAATGAATAATTTCATTAAAGAAACCAAAATATTATGAAATGAAATCATTTTAGGAGTTCTTCTTTCTATTTTTAATTCCAACGCACTCTTTATAGAAGCAGCCAAGGATAGTTTTGCCTCGGAAAAATCCCCCAAGCCGACCACACTGTGCAAATAACAACACAACCTTTTATTTGGCGGGGCCAGTGCTCTAGTATCTTTGCCCACTCTCTGTTGACTTATTCCCATTCATCGCTTCTTAGAATTGCTCTCTTACTCACTGCGATCCTTAATCACAATGACCTATTTCCATTGTCACTGGAAAAATCACCACATATACATATGTACGTTATACGTATATGATATTATCAACATGCTGATTAAATAAATAAATTTCGCTTTTAATAAAAGTTGCCCTTGGAAATGGACTTTTAAGTGCCGAATAACAATTTTTGGGGATTTTTTCTACCCTGGTGACAGCGGAATACACAATACTAAAGTACTACAAAAAAACTTTATACTCAACTGTTTATTTGTACTATCTTTTGGGGTTCCCAACGAATATAATCTACACATTGTACCTAACTTTCAGTAAACAATTTTCCATACAGACTACATCATTCCGATCTATGTACATATTTATATACCGGTGTTACACAACGGCACAAGTAGGATGCAATTCTCAGTATATAAAGATAAAGCGGTCATATCCTTCAATTTTATGTACTCTATAACGGAAGAAAAAAACGGAAGCGAAAAAACTCTTTAACACGCGTAATTTTCGTTTGAATTGTTCAATTTATAAACAATAACAAAGGTACGCATTGCTTTTAGCTAATTGCATTTTCCCTTTATTTTACATTTTTGTCAGCAATCAATTTTAATTTTTCGTTTCATATCAGTCAGCTTTTGTCAGCGAGCAATTAGAATTTTTCGTTTCATATCAGTCAGCTTTTGTCAGCGAGCAATTATAATTATTCGTTTGATATCAGTCAGCTTTTGTCAGCGAGCAATTACAATTTTTCGTTTCATATCAGTCAGCTTTTGGTAGCGAGCATTTATAATTTTTCGTTTCATATCAGTCAGCTTATGTCAGCGAGCAATTACATTATTTCGTTTCAAATCAGTCAGCTTTTGTCAGCGAGCAATTAGAATTTTTCGTTTCATATCTGTCAGCTTATGTCAGCGAGCAATTACATTTTTCGTTTCATATCAGTCAGCTTTTGTCAGCGAGCAATTAATTTCTTTCGTTTCATATCAGTCAGCTTATGTCAGCGAGCAATTAAATTTTTCGTTTCATATCAGTCAGCTTTTGTCAGAAAGCAATTATAATTTTTCGTTTCATATTAGTCAGCTTTTGTCAGCGAGCAATTAGAATTTTTCGTTTCATATCAGTAAGCTTATGTCAGCGAGCAATTACATTTTTCGTTTCATATCAGTCAGCTTTTGTCAGCGAGCAATTACATTTTTCGTTTCATATTAGTCAGCTTTTGTCAGCGAGCAATTATAATTTTTCGTTTCATATCAGTAAGCTTATGTCAGCGAGCAATTACATTTTCGTTTCATATCAGTCAGCTTTTGTCAGCGAGCAATTAATTTTTTCGTTTCATATCAGTCAGCTTATGTCAGCGAGCAATTAAATTTTTCGTTTCATATCAGTCAGCTTTTGTCAGAAAGCAATTATAATTTTTCGTTTCATATCAGTCAGCTTTTGTCAGCGCGCAATTATAATTATTCGTTTGATATCAGTCAGCTTTTCTCAGCGAGCAATTATATTTTTTCGTTTCATATCAGTCAGCTTTTGTCAGCGAGCAATTACATTTTTTTCGTTTCATATCAGTCAGCTTTTGTCAGCGAGCAATTAGAATTTTTCGTTTCATATCAGTCAGCTTTTGTCAGCGAGCAATTATATTATTTCGTTTCATATCAGTCAGCTTTTGTCAGCGCACAATTAGAATTTTCGTTTCATATCAGTCAGCTTATGTCAGTGAGCAATTACTTTTTTCGTTTCATATCAGTCAGCTTTTGTTAGCGAGCAATTATAATTATTCGTTTGATATCAGTCAGCTTTTGTCAATGAGAAATAAAAACATTATTTTGGTTTTTTTTTTAGTATTTATTACATATTTACATTTATTTTTACATATTTTCCTAAATTTTTACATTTTTCCTAAATTTTAAAATCAAGTATATAAATTTATTGACAGATTTTCAAATTATTCTATGCATACAATCATATGTTTTGGAGTATTACCCGTACACACAAACATGCTTGCTTTCAGTCGGCTTGTGTCACGTTATGAGCCGAACGCCGTCGGGCCCAGAGCCGAAGACCTGGGACCGTACGCTGAAACCTCAGCTGCGCCACTTTCGTTGTATGAACTGGCGCATCTATATACTGTATGGTTAGTGGCTATGCTTTTATGCTTGGCCGTTTTTGTTTGAACCCTATTATGTAAACAATCCAATGAAAAGGAGTTCTGAAAACTAGCCAATATTGTACAAAATTTGTTGACGAATCGGATAAAATAATTTTTGTAGGGCTAAGTGGGCAAACTAGCTAGTAATATTAAACGGAATATCAAAATCGAGGAATATCATTGCATCTTTTCGTGTCCGTCAGTATATTTACGATATATTTTTATAATCACAAGGTATATTTCTGGGGGTCAGGCGGTATATATTTTTGAGTAATCCGCGGTCACACTGCAAAACGCGCGACAACAAAAAGAAAAAACTTAAAATTTTGCGACATTTCAAGAATAAAATCATGTTTGGGGCCGCACAATCATCGAATCGCATGAACGATTTCGAGGTGGCATCGCCGCCTGACGATTCCGTTTCGGCCTTGGAGTTCAGTCCAAACACATTGCAGAAGAACTTCCTGATTGCCGGCAGCTGGGACAGCAGCGTACGTTGCTGGGAGGTGGAACAGAATGGAGCAACAGTGCCAAAATCGATAAAATCAATGGGCGGCCCAGTGCTCGATGTGTGCTGGTCTGACGATGGGACGAAAGTGTTTATGGCTTCCTGCGACAAGCAAGTGAAGCTCTGGGACTTGGGATCGGATCAAGTGATGCAAGTGGCGGCTCACGATGGGCCAGTAAAAACATGTCACATGGTGAAGGGGCCGAACTACACGTGCCTGATGACAGGATCCTGGGACAAAACATTAAAGGTAAGCCCCTGCCATTTCCTCGGCTCCAATACACTAAATCCAAATTCCTTTGTTAAATAGTTTTGGGATACCCGGTCACCCAACCCAATGATGGCAATCAACCTACCAGAGCGCTGCTACTGTGCGGATGTGGAGTATCCCATGGCCGTTGTGGGCACTGCATCACGGGGCCTAATCATATACTCGTTGCAGAACACTCCTAGCGAGTACAAGCGGCAGGAGAGCCCATTGAAATATCAGCATCGTACCATAGCCATATTTAGGGATAAAAAAAAAGAGCCCACTGGTTACGCTTTGGGCAGTATTGAGGGTCGCGTGGCCATCCAATATGTGAACCCGGCTAATCCCAAAGATAACTTTACGTTTAAGTGTCATCGCTCGACGGGCACCTCTGGCTTCCAGGACATTTACGCCGTAAACGACATCGCATTCCACCCAGTGCATGGCACTCTGGTCACTGTAGGCTCTGATGGCACATTCAGCTTCTGGGATAAGGACGCCCGTACTAAGCTCAAGTCAAGCGATGCCATGGATCAGTCTATAACCAAGTGCGGATTCAATTCAAATGGCCAAATATTCGCTTACGCGGTCGGATACGATTGGTCAAAGGGCCATGAATACTTCAATCCTGGAAAGAAGCCACAAATTTTCTTGCGCTCGTGCTACGAGGAATTAAAGCCGCGGATCAACTGATTGGAGGCTTGTTTTAGTTTGGAGCTAATCGACAGTATGAACTGCGAATAAAATTATTTCAGAGTTTAACACATGTTTATTTAATTTCACTAATGGTGGCTCGTGTCCTTGTCGTCGTGACCGTGTCCATGGCCGCCCTGGCCCTTGCCAATACCCAGACCGTACTCGACGGCAATGGTCGCCAGAAAGGCGCAGAAGCCAACGCCGAGACCGCGGAAGAGGAAGGTGTTCAGACGAGATCTGTGGGTGCCGAAGGCCTTCTTCTCGTAGCGCCAAGCCTCATTCCTGACAGAATGCAAGCAATAATCAAATATTATACAAAATACATCGCAGTTGAATGCAATCACCTCAGCCATGGATCACTTAAGCCCTGGCGACCCAGAGCTTCTTTCACTTCCACCAGCTGTGGCACATTTTCCACCTTGTAGATCGATGGATGTGGCACCTTGTAGGGTTCTCCGTGATGTCCGCCCATTGTATGCTATTTCTTTGCTGGAATTTAAAACAAATCAATTCGATTATTCGTGTAAGTTAAAATGTTTAACCTATCCCTGAACAATTACATAAGAATGTTTATGTTTTGAAAGCTTATCGGCTTACTGTGCAAAATAAAATAACTAGCAATTAAGTAAAATACACCAAAAATGCTATTGCAACTGTAACAGCACGCTTAGTTTATGTACAATACGCCAATTTCAGAAAAATAATATAAAATTTGACAAAATACACACAGTTGACTTAGGAATAGTGTGACCGCAGATTTATCGATCAAATATACCGTTTCACCTTCAGAAATATACCGAAACATACCTTCAGATTTTCAAATTATACCGAGGAAAGAACGAACTTAACCCACTTAACCGCGCTCTATTTAAGCCGATGAACACCTTGGGTTACACCGCGGAAAATAATACTGTTTTCAACATCTCCAAAAAAGGCTCCCACTACTAAATATAAGTTTTCTAAATTCAATTTCCGAATATTTCTTTATTATTTAAACGTAAATCCGTAGAACATTTGTAATTTGTAAACGTGCTTAAGTGAAAATATACATGAATTACTTTTCATTTAATTCTCTAGTTACACAATAAGTAATAGTAATATTTGCAGGATTTATATATTAATAGCGATATTCTTTTAATTAACTTATATATTGTGTGTTTGTGGTTAATTATAGTATATAAACTCCTTCACTCTAAAACACTGTCACTACAATTGGAAAAAGGAAATCGATTTAAAGCATACTCGTATAACAAAATACTGTTCCTTACACTCTTGTTGGTTTGTTTTGTCATTTTGCATTGTATTGTAAAAGCTAGTTACAAAAACGCATGATCCGCATGCCCCTGACTCTTAAAATACAATACATATATAGGTGTATATTCATAAAGAATTCTCACAAACGGTTAAATCATACACAGTTTCATCGAACCACTCTTAAGCTTAATTCTGATTTGGAAATGCGGAAAGCGCGAACATTCAATCCATCAATCTATAAACATTTTATCTACTCTTGGAAGCGACTTTTTCTCAACTAAATTTTAAAATATTTTTTTTTGTTGTTTTGTTTTTCATTTCTGTGTTTGGGTTCTTTGCTTGCAAATGCTTCGGGGGAACATCAAGGGTCGGTACCACCTTCTCCACATCTCTGCTCAGCACTTATGGTTACGGTTGGTTAAAAGTTAAAAGGTTTCCATTCATTTTGAAGTGTGGCTATATCTGGGTTAAATAGGTTTCTTTTGAATCACATTTCGAATTTCTAAAGATTAGTTGATTTTGTTTCATAATTTAACACATGTTGCTACAACAATTTAGGTATTTTGAAATCAAATTGTACTTTTAACTTGTGTTCCTTTCTCCGCTCTAGTTTCCACTCCCTGTTTTTTTCACTTCTTTTCCCTGTCTCTGGCTTTACCTAGATCCTGTCCTCGGCCAGTATCTCGTTGAGCAGTCGATTGAGGCTGTCCAGTCCGGTGAGAAAACCGCCGTCGGGTCCATGGTGAACGGGTGCGACGGGCGGAGTGGGTAGCATGCTGCCATTGCGTGGCACAAAGGCCGTGTGGGCAAAGTCAATGAGACGCACGTCCACAAAGCACTGCGAGTCGTCTGTGGCTGGCGCCGACATGTCCAGCGACTTGGAACCATGCTGCAGCAGGGCAGAGTTACGCTGTTGCGGCTCCATGCCACCGCTGATGTTGTTCTCGCCCTCAGCACTGCCACTGGAACGACGCTCCAGGGTGTCCAGGAGTATGCCTGCCAGCATGGAGTTTGTAATATTCTCACAGCTGCGCTGTGGCGCTGTCTTTGCAGGCGACACGACGGTGGAGACGGGTGTCGAGGTGATTGTAGACTTTTTGGCCTCCCTGGAGTCACAGTCATCGTGTGCAGCATAGTGTTCGTCGTCGTCTTTGCAACGCAGACGCTTGACAGCTCCCTTGACCGATTTGAGGGACGAGGCGCTGGAGGAGGCGGGTGAAACCAGAGACTTGACGGTGCCGCCGTTGGAGACACTTGAGTTGCCGGCAGTGTGTGGAGGAGAGGTTGGCTCAGTCCCGGTGCCTGCTGATGCCGCATCGAATGATTTGTAGCGCTTGAACATGGCCTCTGTGGGTCCAATGACGCTGCTTTCGTAGTCGGAACTGGCATCGTCAGAGCTGTTGTTGCCTGTGGAATAAATCAACTGTAAAACATCTGGAAAGTTGAGAAGAATGTCTCATCCTTACATGTCTGTCGACCGCTGGCCACGGCCTTGATCTGCTCGGACAGGCCCGAGTAGTCGTCGCTGCTGTTGCTGCTGTAGTTCATCCAGGAGTCACCGGAATGTGGCGATGAGGTCGTCACGTTGGGCAAAGCTGGCTCTGGATCCAGGAATACTGTCTCTTCGGAAATTGGAATGAATGCGGGTGCGGGCTGAGCACTGCTGCTCTGACCTTTTGCGCCCGCGGATTTGGCAGCCGTGACGCCACAGCTGCGTGGCGGTGGCATGGCAGCCGGGTGCGCATGCTCCTCATCCTCTTCCTCGTCGGTGGTGGTGATGCTGGCCGACGAATGCTTGACTCCGCGGGCCGCTGCCTCACCAAAGCCACGCTTGTGCAGGTGGCGACGCGTGGCCAGATTCAGCAGCGAGCTGGAATCGTTCGATGCATCCGCATCGTAGTTGCAGCCATCTCCGCCCGTGCTGCTATTGGTGGCCGAGGCATTGCCGCTGTCAGCAGCCACCAAGTGCAGGTCCTCGTCCGTGTCATGCTGCTCCAGCTCGTCGCCAGCCTCGTGTCCCGCCTCGTCCTCCTCGTCTTCGATGTCGTCATCATCTATGCTGTTCTCCGGATGATAATCGAAGCCTGTTGTCGAGATGGTCGCCGACTTGGGGGCCTCCGGCCAATCATCCAGGCTGATCGATGGAGGATAGGCCATCGGGTTCTCCTCGAAGCCCTCGTAGACAATGAGCAGGGAGCTGATGGGGACATGGAAAGTAAGTCACAGAACCCTCAGAAGACATCAGGAGTTCCTCGATCTTACCAGGAGTAGAATCTGTAGCTGGACTGCTTCTCAATAACTCTGCGCATCTGGAGCAGTCGCTGCAGTATCTTGCGGATCACGCGGATCCTCAGCCGGAAGCCGTTGTAGAAGAAGTCATGAAGGGCCTTCTTGAAGCCGTCCTCGTTCAGCTCCCGGCCCCAGTACTTGTCCCGTTTGGCATACTGCTCGAGATCGGCCTGGTAGGTCTGCATGCCACACAGGCGCACACCCAGAGAGCCCGAGGTGCTGGCCGCGCACTTGGCCATCTGCTTGGAGCGTTTCTCCGCCGAGGCATCGTCCCCGTGCTGGCGGGTGCCCATCTTTAGGTCGAGAATGCAGGGATTGCGGAACTGCGAAGTGATGTTTTCGAGCATAAGGAAGTCTGCAAGGGTGAGGAATAAGGATTAGTTGGGGTAACGCCTACCATGACAGCAAGGGAATACTCACATTGCTTATTGGAGTTGTCAAGTTGTGAGATGCTCTTGATAACATCGGCTGCGTTGCCATTCTTGTGGACCTTCATTCTGCAAATGTATTCACGTATAGCTGGTTCTCATTCATTGTCTGATTGATTGATTGACTTACCTCAGCACTTCGTCCCGCTTCCTCTTGGAGGCGCTCATCTTGCGGACGGGCACGGCGGCCGCATCATCCCGAAAACTGGGCGAGTATCGCTTGTCCAACTTGACGCCTCCCATGCTGGTGGCTTGCATGACGCCTGGAATAGAAATAGAGTCGGGACCGGGACGGCGATTAGTGGTTTGTTGCTGAGCACAGGCGTCTCTTGATCTTGTAGTTGTAGTTGTATGTAGTTTAGCATCGAATCGACACGATAATTGGGTTGGTCGGGTTAGGGGTTACGTTTAGGCGGTCGAATGTATTATATGGAGCGGAGGCAGCGGCAGCAGTCCCTGACTTATGCACGAAAGTTAGCAGACAGATGGATGGAGTAGATCGGGACAGACAAACAAACACTTCCGATGGATAACACCAATCAATCGAAGCCATCCTCAGATATTGGTGCAATGACTTTTGTAAAACATCAGACAACAGACGTAATCAAAGGGTGTTCCCACAGACATTCGTATAGATATTTATCGTAGATTTAAAAAAAAAAAATTAAAATAATATCCAATCGTAGACCTAATAGCTATGTCCAAGTGAGTGCAATCAGTGAGAGACTTAACGCGCCGACGCAATAACAAGAACAGGTGCAGGAGGAATAGGAGGAACAGGTGGAGATATACAAAAATGAATTTCATTCAAATTTATCTTCGGTGGAAGCTTGGTTTTTGGGTGCCCTAAACTTAAGTGTAAATTAACTTAAAGGAAATGGAACATCTTATCTAACATAATCGTATTGTAACTGGATTGTATCCTATCGTATCGTATTGCAATTGTAATTGTATTGTAGATTGTAAATTGGTAATTAACATAGTATATGTAGTATGTAAAATAGATAGTAGATAGAGAGTTTTATTCATACAAACCCTTTTCGGCCATTGTCTTGCTTTGGCATTGCCTTTGGCTTGGCTCGCTTGCATTTCTAATCGGCTGTGAGAGTCGAGTCTCGTAGACGTGGAGGTCAGGAGACAGACAGAGCAGAGCCGAGCCGATCGGATCGGTTTGGATCGTTAGGGAGACCGATACGAAGACGGAGACGACGGCGACAGGGGCAGCACGAGCACGATGTGCGTTCTGAACAAACACATAAAATAAAACTCGATTTTGTTTGTTGCATTTCGGAAAATAAATTGGAAAAATTGCAATTTGTTTTTTGTTTTTGTTTTAAAGATATTACTCTCTCTCTCTCTCTCCGGTTCGGATCAGTTCGGTTCAGTTTGGTTCTGCTGGATATTGCTTGGGTCAGCCAGCGGCAGATCACGAGAGCGGTTTTGTCAGTCAGGCACCTCGAACCTTTGGATAATACGAGCATAGAGCGTATATGTAGTGACAAGGGGCCGATCCACGTCCCCCGATCCAGGCATCTATAGAGTCTATAGAGTGACCGAATCGAGGGTGTGTCCTGGCCCTACTGGTTATTCGTTCAATTTCAATGATTGTAGAATTTTTTCAATTAAAAATTGTACAATCTGACTAGGGGATTCACAGTTTGCAGGTTTACTTTACATTACTTTATTTTGGAGTGGTTTCTTTTGGAGTTTTGTTTTTGTTTGTTTATTTACTTTTTCGACTTACCCGATGCTGTCTGTTTTTCGGTTACTAACTAAAAGGTTTGTTTTTTATAATATTCTGTGGTTCTGTGATGGTTCTGGTTCTGTTTGGGGCAGATACAACTTTTTTGTTTTCTCTTTTATTTTCGTATCTCGCTTTTGGTATTACAAATCGTTAAAGCTATGATTTTAGCTACATATTTAAATGTATGTAAATGGTTCAGTCTTTTCGTCAGTTTACTTTTTTTTCTGTTTTTTTTTTTTTCTTTTTTGTGCTCTTTTTTATTGTAATTCCATTTCAATAAAAAACTTAAAGACTACGGGTATATATCACATATTTGAGATCTTTATTTGTAGGAGAAAATAGATACTTAAAATAATAAATGATATTCAAATGCGACTTTGGCTTTATCTAAGGACGATACAAGAGGAGCAAACGCATATTGTTTGTTTTTTTTCATAATTTGTTTGTTTGTGTTGATTTGTTTTGTTGTTGCGAGTTAGTACAGAAACAAAAGTTCAATATATTCTACGATATATATGTAGGTTCATATGTTTATAAATGTATATAAGAAATTGTCAATTTCAAGCTTCTCTGTTCATTCATTCATTTTCTGATTCTTTGATTATTATTATTTGTTTTGTAATTTTGGTTCGATTTCATGGATATATAGTAGAACGATTAGTCGTTTCGAAACGAAAGATCAAATGAAGCGCTTCGATTGAATCGATAAGTTGATAGTTCTTGAACGTGTAATCGCTGTGATCTGATTTTTGAAGGGTGTGATGTGGTGGCAATAAAGGCCGGTATCTTACCTTTGTATTTGGGCACAAACTTCAGTATGTCCTGCGGAATGTTCTGGTAAAAGTCCAATTCCCGCAAGTTCAGGGGCTTGATCACCGTCGACTGGTTGAGCAGCAACAGGCGAGTGTGTCCTCCGACCTGCAAGTAGAAAGTAGTGTGTAATGTTATCCCTCATTAAATACTCATTATCATTCCAATAGAGGTAATTTTGTTAAGCTATTATACCGCCCAGACGCGTGGCCCTAACCATAACCGTGACACCTTATCGCCTCCTACGTCATTTCTACGTTTTTATCTGTGGAAGCTAAAGTGCTCGGACAGGGAAAGTGCGAAAAGTACATTGAAGCCCCGAGCGAATGCCACAGCTTATCGAGAAGTCGGTGAAACATTAAAAGAGAAGATATATCGCCGTCGAGACACTATCTCCAGATAAGGGCGAAAACGACTCAGTCATCGTTTCTCAAAAGTCATTGATTGACATCAAAATTATATTTGGAATACGTCCCGTCCCTATAGTGGGCAATGCTCGACGACAGTCTCCGCTAGAGACTCGGGGAGACCGTCACTGGCGCCATGGAGGCCCTGCGGCAACGTTTTGGGAAGTGGGGGGGCAAAAAGACACCCCGCCCCGGGGGCGCAAGAGCGGCCAGCAGGTCCTTATCAAGGTCCACCACCGCGGCCAGCAGCAGGTCCATCTCTCGACAAACGACCATGTCGTCAGTTTCGACAACCAGGCGGCGGAAGACCACGAGGCACACCAAAGCCAGAGCTGTGGCTTTCGACCACAATAATTTCACGGTGACTGGGGGCAAGGGGAAGAAAAGAATGTCGAGTGCGAAGACGTCGCCCACGAGGACGTCGGCCGTGGATTATAACATCGCGAAACGCGGCATGACCGTGGTGGAGATGATCGTGCCAATCAGGGACTCATTGGAGGGTAAATACAAGTGTAGCGCGACACACGAGGGCCGCAAGGTCCTTCAGGAGAAGCTGCGGGTCCATGTGGACGCGCTCTTTAATATGCTGTTCTCAGCTACGTCGCCCTTCTTCCAGAAATTTCACGAAATGCGAAATTCGACGGATCTGAAGTTGGGCGCGTGGCGAAAGAATGCCGCAGGTCAAAACGAGCGCGTCATCACGGTCACTGTCGCCCTGAAGGGCAACGTCGGCCCCAAGGTAGCGAAAGTCACCGAGACGCAGACCCTGCGCGACTGCTGCCGCCCCGGTAAGCTGTACTCCATCGACGCGACCAGCGTCAATGCGGAAATTCCGTATGCGGACTCCTTCATGGTCGCCATGCACCTGTGCCTGCTCGGCACCCCCGAGGGACACACCAAAATCCAGGTCCTGGCCCAAGTCAAGATAATCAAGCCTGTGTGGGCAGTGGTCCAGTCGTTCATCGAAAAGCACACCTTCGCCGGAGTCGAGGAGTTCTTTCAGTCGCTCTACAGTGCGCTGGTCAAGGATCAAAGGAGGACCACAACGTTACCTGCCAGTGGTTCCACTTATTAGAGCGGACAGTTGCCCATAAATACTTTTGCTGTTAGCACTAATTTCGTTGCGTTTGCTTGGGGGAGGTACTAACCTGATTGGAGAGGGGATGCAGTGCCACTTCATCTTCGTTTTCCAGGAGATCCTTGCCGAGCAGTGAGGAGGTCTTTGGCTTGCCGTCGACGGACGCCTCCGAGCACTGCCTTAGCCACGATGGATGGCCCTTGGGACCACTGGATACGCCAGATACTACGTCTGGAGCAGCAGCTGCGTCCAGCAATGGCTGCTGTTGCTGCCTGTTGATGTTATGGTTGGTGCCACTTCCACTGCCACTGCTGCTGGAACTGCTGGTGTTGCTGTTGCTCACCGACAGCTGCTGGAGATTAGCGGTTACCAGGCTGCTGCTTGTGCTGGTGCAACTGCTCCTTGGGCCAGCAACATGGTGCTGCTGCTGCTGCTGGGGATGATGGTGATGGGGTGTTGAGGGAGAGACCGACGTTGCCGAGGAGCCTGGCTGCTGGAGGAAGTTGGAGCCGCTGGCGAACTGCAACTGAGACTGCAACTGGCTTAGGCTGGTGGAGATTTGGGCAACCAGTTCCTGCTGCTGCTGTTGCTGTTGCTGCTGTTGCTGCTGCTGTTGATGTAGATCACGTCCATGGATGCGCTGTTGCTGCTGTATATTTGGAACATGCTGCTGATATGACGACAAGTCAGAATCTCCCATGCCCCAATCCCCCAAGAAATATACCATTCCCTGCCGCGCGAATCAGTGTAACGAGCTCTTCGGATCTCCTCCTTGTGGTTTCCTTTGCTGATTTGCCGCACGACGCTCGGCGTTTACTCTGATGCGGCTTTGTTCTTCTGTCTGCAAAGATAGATCATAAATTCCATTACTAAATGGGCCATGTTCGCCGTAATCCCCCATGGAATCCCCACAATCTGACCCTCTTGATCGGTTAATCGCTTTGATCGTCCACTGAACCGGTTCCGACAATGCCCCGAGGGGCCCTCGGGAGCACCGGTGTGATCCGAACAAGTGCGTTCTGACTGGCAGCAGGCAGCAAGCCGGGTTCAATGTCATTTCCGCCACGGAACATGCACATTACGGATACGTATACCGTTGCGAGTCATGCGACACGGCAATTCTGTTCCGGCTTAGGCGGGGGTATGCGACAGTTGCATGGAGATCAACTGGAAAACCATGGGGAAGATCACTAGCCCAGATATAATGAACACGAACACCTCGCCACAGATCGAATTGCAAATCAGCTGAGAACATTCGCTTTGTGGATGACTGAATCAGTCGATTCGAAGCACGCCCTCTCTACTATCTCTCCGACAATAGCAATCAAATCGTTTAATGAAGCGTATTTATAATGGAATACAATTGAGTGGGGAACGGGTACGAGTACGGGTACGGGTACGAGGACTGGGATTCGGTTAGTCAAGCGTGTGGCACGTGCATCTATAGATAATGAATAGGATGGAAGACGGAATTGCGTTGCAGACAGGTTCCACCAGTCTCCAGTTCCACTTCTAATCGGAAATGCAAATATGGAACTGCAGACGTCATAAAGATAACAAAATCTCCCCAGATGCGTGTTCCAGTGCATATTTGCTTGCAATTATTACCTGCCTCGTGTTTACCAGGGCCCATAGGGCCAGACCTAAGCGATAAATGGAACTTAGATATGGCCACAGACCAGATAGTAACTACTGTGCGGAACGACCCGTAGTCTGACTTCTAGGAACCACAAAGCGATTAAAAACAACTACGACTACGACGCTGTTCTGTTAGGTTCCAGTGACGATGATGAGGTTCATTAACTTGAGTGATTCATGCCGCCACCGCCACCGTCGACCGACGGGCATTGTCTTGTCTACGCGAAAACAATACGGAGAAATATTATCGCTCTTCAAGAGCCTAAGGCTATTCGCACCAGTTATTTTTAACAAAAGCCTCAAAATAAAGCATATATTTACTTGTATTTTTTTTTTGCAATGTCCCCAGAGTTTGGAGGGAAATGTCAGTCTAAAGACATGAAAATGGATTGCAACACGGAAGGCAGCACACAGACACACTCTCGCTATGGCTAATCGGGCGGGCAATTAATTGCATGCGATTAAAGATCGAAGATTGAAGATCAAGTTGAGGCAGCGCTCTAAAGATCAAGATGATTCAGCGAAATCTGACCTTATCAGAGAGCGGAAAAAACTGTGGAATGGAAAAATGCCAATCAAACAGAGACCGAAATAAACAAAGGAAAAGGAGGAGGAAATCCATACATACACACACAGTTATGTACACATGAATATTGCGACGTATAAACTATGCATGTAACTTCCCCAGTTAGTCCCCTGGGTATGCTCCACATTCTGAGTGTATGTACAAATGTATACATACATATATGTAACGATTGTTCAAATATATATAAGGTGCCTGAAAGTAGGTCAACGCACAGACCTCGCAGACAGAGAGCGAGACCCAAAACAGCTGCAATTGCGACGCGGAGGCCAGCCAGACAAAACCTATTTCTGAACAGCGCTCTATAGGAAGATATTTCTCCCCGAAAGCAAATTTGATTAACAAATCAGAGAGAGAACCAGAATGGAGCCGATGTCGATGATAGACATGACAACAAAGCGAAACAATCCAGTCAATTCACCCACCCCATTTACGAATAGATTAACTTTTGGGAATTTCCGCAACATTCTCGATACGTAATGCGAATAAAGTTAGGGTATACGAAAACGTCTGGACTCTGATTCGATGAATGTGAATGTCTGCGACACCAGAAAAACAAATAAGAAGTGCAAATTGAAAGCTAAACAAACACGTATTGATATCAATTTGAAAACATTCCCACACATACATATGCATGTGTTTATTGAAATTTCAGACACCAGACTTCGATAGACTGACATTCAGTGTCGATTTAATGATGTATAGAACTTACTCGAACTTCCCCTTGATTTATTGGCGACAAAACAAAGAACAGGTGAACGGAAAACTACAGCCATGTGATTAATAATAAGGACACTTGGCCATGCTTCAGAAAATGCTCTATAAAATGACTATTTTCTGGAATTTTGCGGTGATCTTAATTTTTATTAGTAGATTTATGTTTGCACTCCATAAATAAAAAGTAAAAAACCCAAGTATAATGGTGAAAAAAATAATAAAAAATTTTGTTCGGTACGTCATCGACTTTTGGCTGTGCGAAATAATAGGGACACCGAAACAAAACATGTTATATTTCGTAAAAACAGCATGTTTCCAAGAGGTGTTTGGTCTTAAACTATTGATTGTAATTAGTTATTGTAATTTTAGATATAAAAACATCCATAAAACAAAGTTTAGATATTAGGGATGGGAAGGGACGTGCTTAAAAGTACCCAGATACCCATGGACATGAAAAAGTCCACAAAAATGGATTTTCGTAACGGAATATTTGCCGAAACATTGACGTTTTCCAAGGAAAGTAATGATAATGCAATAAAACATACTATTTAGGAGGAAACACGAGAAAAAAAATCAAAAATATTCCGAATTCTGGAGAAAAATGTGATGAGATTCGTGAGGCAAGACACATTTAAAAATTCTTATAATTAAAAAAAAAATATTCTATGGAGGCAATCCCTTCTAAAATATGAATAATACTTGAAGCTAACAATCTAAAGTCCTAGAGACCCCAAAAAGTTCCGTGTCTATTGAATAGGGATATACCAAAGATGGCGATGGTCGCTGCGGACCATGAACCATGGGCCTGAGAACTAATAGCACAGCATCCCCTGATACCATAAGGAAAATGTCATGTTTTCTACTTTGATTGATAGTTCTTCAAATGCGTGTTTAAACATGGTATTTGAAGAACTTAAAACTATTAATCAAATAAAAATAGAAAACATGGGGTGACATGTCCTTATTATTAATCACATGACTGTAGATGGTTTTACAATATATTTGTAAATTTAACTGCGAAACGAGACGAAAGCGTAAACCTGACCCGCACGCAAATGAGAGGAATAAGCTCAGAAAAGGAGGCCTGCCCCCTCACTCGCTAAAGACCCAAACTCTGGCCCACTGTACTGATAACACAACGTAAGGCAGATTAAACGATATTTGGCGAACACTTGGCAACAACAAAAGAGCATTTAATGAGCAATTCAAAAAGAAAGCCCTGCGATTAGCGATTCAAGGGACTGTGACTACGGCTATGACACAAACAAGAGTTGGGACAGAGAGAGAGAGAGAGAGAGAGGGAACAGCAACAACAGTTATCATTTGTGACCGTCTCGTCTCGGCCGTTCGTCGGCGAAACGAAAGCCAAATCTTGCGACAAGCAAAAGCGATAAAAACAAAAGGCAAAAAGCAAAAAGCACTTGAAACTGGACAAGTACAATGGGGATTTTGTGCAATTTAAACCGCAATTAGTCATGCAATGCACCGTACGATCTACAGGAGAGCAATAGCAGTTGGAATGGAAAAATTTACCAGTTTTGGACGGGGATTTTATATACATACATACGAGTATTTTTCGATTATACCAGTTTTTGGGGCAGGTTGATTATAATATTTCGCATATCAAAACAAAAAGCAGCTGTGAAGTCGATATCTAAGCCGAATTACGTGCTATACGATGACGGGGAGGAAGAGGCGATCTCGCCAGCACACTCACACGCACACACACACACCAATTCAGACGTAGAGATAAAACGTATTCAAAACAAAAGATTAACACAAAAGCGATAGCCAAGAGACAGAGAAGAAGCAGGGAAAGAGAGAAACGCCACTTTAACAAAAACTCTGCCCTGAACGATGACGTCGTGAGCAGGGAGATAGAGAGAGAAGGAGAGCGAGAGCGAGAGAGAGTCGTCTCTCTAGCTATTTTTACAGTGCACATACACGAAAAAAAAAAAGTTAAATAAAATTCACACGTACACACACAGTCGGGGATAAAATTGCTAATCGTTTTCTTGGCTCCGTTTCGTTGTAACAAATTTACCTTTTTCGAGACGACTCTGGTTGTCCCCAATGTGTTAGAATATTTTTCCA